TGCAGGTGACTCTCTCACCTAAACACGTTCTCCTATCGTAACTTCTCTCTTCTACCACTTAATCTATCTTATCCTTTCTCATCAATAAATGTCATTCTGTTTACTCTAGTTTTGAAGATGTTGGTTTATTGTATGTCTACGTTTCAACTCCATACATTTTAGAATCCCTGATGTAAAAAATAAAAAGAATTCTCAAAATAAACGAAGGATGCACTTATGAGTTGCGATTATTGTTGTTTTGTTTGTGCAGCTTATACTGCTATTGGTGGAGTTATTTTCTAGAAAATAATAACACACTATATAAACTTCTTTCAGCTATTTTCCAGGTATGTCTCCTGATCTTTTGTGCTCTTTGTGTTTTGTTCTGTGAAATATATGTATCAATACATAGCTGACTATTGACTAGAAAGTATATTCTTTTTTAACTACTAGTTGGTGATCCGCGCTACGCGCGGCTATGTGATTCATTTTTATATATTTTTTATTGAATTTGTTGTATCATATAGTTTTGAGAATTTTAACTTCTATTTCTCACATATACCTCTCTCGAATTTTCCATCTTTTTTCAAATTTCTAATTTGTGATCTATGCAACACCGGGATTTGATTATCATTTTATGTATTTTTATTGTATCATATAGTTTTGGATAGTTTGTGATTGTTTATTGTTTTTTCAATATACTCATCTTAAATTTATTGACTTATCTTAATTTTGATCAAATATTATTCATTCAAGATTATTTGCTTTATTCAAACAAATAAGAAAAAGAACATATATGATATTAGATATCCAAATTATCAATTTAAGAATTAATTTTTAAAAATTATAGAGTTTTTTAAAAAAATTCTCTAATTTCTGAATTTTTTTCAAAATATTTTTTTGAAGTTGACTTTCATCCAAATTATTGAGAATTTGTGAATAAATTTTAGATAATACAATTTCGAATCCATCTTGTTACCCAAATTTCCTATTCCATTTTTATTGGATTTACTTTGGAAATTGTTTTCTGTTTTTCTAATTACAAATTCCCATCACACACTTTTAAATTTCTGGTTTTAATCTTGAAATACTCAAAACTAATGTATATCATTTTTTGTATTTTGTATTTTTTTTTATTTTCTGACAACACATTATAATTTAACGTTTTATGTTTGCTATTTTTTATATTAAATGTTAATGTCAATATTTATTATTTTCTGTCTTTCTACTTATTAATTCCTGTCACACACTCGTAAATTTTCACCTTGAATATTAAAATAGTCAGAGCTAATGTATATCATTATTTATCAGTTTTTATATTGTTTTTATATCATATTTTGTTAGTTTTTTTTCTGACAGCACATTATAATTTTTTATATTGAATGTTAATATTATTTTTATTATTTTTCATCTTTCTAATTACCAATTCCTGTTACACACTCGTAAATTCTGCCTTGAATCTTGAAATACTCATAGCTAACATATATAATTATTTTTGTATAGTATTTTGTTGATCTTTTATTTTCTAACAACATATTATAATTGTCTTTTTATGTTTTATATTGTTTTTTATTGAATGTTAATATTAATTTTTATTATTTTCTGTCTTTCTAATTACCAATTCTGGTCATAATCTCGCAAATTTCCGTCTTGAATCATGAAATAATTAGAGCTAATGTATATCATTATTTTTTGGTTTTGCTATTTTATATTTTGTTGATTTTTATTTTCTGACAACACATTGTAATTGTCTTTTTATGTTTGTTATTTTTTATATTGAATGTTAATGATAATTTTTATTGTTTTCTGACTTTCTAATTATCAATTTCCATCACACACTCCTAAATTTCTGCCTTGAATCTTGAAAGATTCAAAACTAATGTATATAATATTTTTTTGTTTTATATTATTTTATTTTCTGAAAACATATTATAATTGTCTTTTCAGTTTTTCTGTTTTTATATTAAATGTTAATGTTATTTTGTGTTTTAGAAGAATTTAAATAAAAAATAAATAATGATATAGTTGCTGAGGTGGCAACACCAGAAGTGAGAAAATGTAATTTTATATATATAGATTTCTGAAAACATATTATAATTGTCTTTTCAGTTTTTCTGTTTTTTATATTAAATTTTAATGTTATTTTGTGTTTTAAAAAAATTTAAATGAAAAATAATTAATAATATAATTGCTAAGGTGGCAGCACCAGAAGTGAGAAAATGTAACTTTATATATATAGATTCAATAGTCTCAATCTTTCCGTGAACTCTTTTTTTATCTTTTTGATTTTATCTTTTATACTCTTAAATCTGCTCATTATGGTCTTGTGTTCTGAGTTCTTACTATGTAGATGATTTTTTACTTTGTTTGGCCTCGGAAGCATGTGTCACCGAAGTTGTTAATGTATAATTACTTTTTCTATCAGGATTAATGTTCAAGCTAAATATAAGTGGATGAAATTTCATTTATAGTCATGTGGAGACTAAAATATTGGGAGAACAATATGATGCAATGAAAAATTACAGGTTTGTCTTTGGATGCACAATTCGTAAATTTGTTAGCTTTGCAAGAGTTATGAAATTATGCACACTATCCTATTGAATTGCAGGAAAGTGCCAACATTTTGGCAGTCAGAGCATGCCCAATCACAATTGAAAACTTTTACCTGAAGTTACCATTGAGGTAAATCAAGTCCTTTCTCTGTTTAGTTATTTGATCAATTTTGTAGATTGTATTCAGATTTCCTATAACATTATTGGGCATTACTATAATCAATTCTCTTTACTAACTCATTTGCATATTTTTTGTGAATTTGATATAGAGTTTTCTCTATCCAGGGAAAAACATCATAGAAAATGAGTGCATGAAGATACGAAGCTACAAAGAGATAAAGGTTTAATTTGGACTTTAAGACATTAGTGTTTTGCATTTTTGTATAAATTTTTAACAATGTATTCATCTCATTTTTCTAATAAAATTTGATGTTTTATTTTATTTATATTATTTTATTCAATTATAAATACATTTTATCATAGTTAAAAGTCAATTTAATATAGCATATATATTATTTAATATTTGGTTGTTTATAAAAATGATGTTAATGCAAAATTAGTTTAACATCAATTATTAAAATGATGCTAAAACTATTAATAGTGTCACTTTAAAAAAATGATATTAATGTAAAATAAATGATGCTAAATTTGAATTATAACATCACTTAAAAAAGTGATGCTAAATATCTTTAGCTTCATTGAATTTAACATCATTTTAAAAAGTGACCCTATAATTCTAGCATCATTTTAAAAGTGACACTAACTATTAAAAAAACTGATGTTAAATTTGGTTATTTTTGTAGTGTTTGTTGGTTATAAGAACCTCACCTTGGCTTCTCCAAACGTTTAAATCACTTAGCTTTCAACTGGTGACCAAGAGAATAAGGGGAATAATGAATTTCTCTTCATTCCTTAAATTTTTTACCATTTGTTAGTAATAATATTTTCTTATCATTCCTTCTTATTCATTATCATATAAGGAATTATAAAACAAATATATTCCTTATTAAAATTAGGGAGGAACAAATTATATTTATTTACTTCCTTAAATATTTTTCATTCCTATTCATTCTTTTTCTTTTGTTCATTTTATTCTTTATCTTTTCATTCATATTCCTTTTTTATTAGTCACCAGTTAAAGCCTTAAACATGGTACTGCTGTTGATTATTTTATATACATATTGCTGCTGCTTATTTTTTATATACGCCTTGGACGATTTTTGTATTAAACACAATAAAATGAACACATTAACATGATGATTAATAATTCTCGTTGCCACAAAATTATAGATATGGTTTTTTATTAACTATTTTGATTTTTTTGGATATGCTTTCGTGAATACAAAACCATGAAATTTAATTTAACTTGCACAATTTGTTTTCGTGGACACAACATTATGAATATATTATCGTGGACACGATTTGTTTTCATATATATGTTTTTATGGACACAATTTCATAAATAGATATACATTATTCTCCACTCCATGGTTTTGTGTTTTTTAAAGATTCATGGTGATTTTTTTTTTTATCAGATTCATTAAAAGTAATTCGGGACAAGTGATGAACAATAGAAAAAGTGTTTTATTTTATAAGAACAATTAAAAAAGTAATTTAAAGTGTACCTCACTCAATATTTTTGATGTTAGGTATAATCTACTCAATTTTAGGAATAATTCTACACTAATTTCTACAAATGTTAACAATTAGGTTGCTAGAAAATTAATATAACAGTAAGCACTTACAAGTTAAAAAGACACTAACTTTGAGAAAAATAAACAATTTGAACTGTATAATATTTTGTATTTTATTAGTTTAAATAATTTATTAATTGCCAAGTTTTAGAGAATAGTAATGTCAAACTCCACAAAAGTTTCTTCCTGGACCACCATAATTAAAAAAGTAACCAAATGGATTTTTATGAAATACTTTTATCTTTCTAAGTCTTAACCCATAACAATTAGTACTATCTAATATTTTGTCTAATAGATAATAACACATTCTGCGTGGATAATAATGAGAATCACGAGCTTCAATATTTGCAAACAACGATGATTCCATACGTTCTCCATTTGGAAATTTACCATTACCCATGGGAGGGCTAGAACCAGAACGTGAAGCTTGAACCACACCTGCAGCTCCGACCATATTTACACCATTATCTAAAAGGTTAAATAATTCGTTTGGCCAATATCCAACATCTATTAGATGACGTGGATCCCTCTGTATTGTAAACCACCAATGTCCTGTTTCTTCATCCTTGTTGCGTATATTAATAGACAACAAATTCATTTGTTAATAATACACACTAATTGAAGGACAAAGTGTACGGGTCTAGATCATTAGTTATACCGTTATAGTGAAAAACATTGATCACTAATTAATTTGATTATATAATTGAATAATTTCAAGATTCATAAATCCTTTATTACTAAGTTACAATAACATATGAAAAAAAATATCTACATTTTAATTAGGAAAATATCTGATGGATAGAGCCATATAACCACGTAGGTTCTCCTGGTTTAAGATCTCTAGGTTCGATGATAGGAACTTCACGCGATATTTGAACAAATCATAAACATGCTGTATTATAACATCCTGTTTCATTTTTGCCCTATCAAAAATCATAATATTTGACATATTATTTGTTTAGAGATTTGTATTTACAATTTATGAAAACTAAAAACAGAATTATCTGCATGCAAGCGCACACACCTTCCAAAATCCATATGACCAAACATGTCCGTCACCAAAAATACTTGGATTTATCTGTTGAAACGGTTTGCAATACTTTAAAACTACCCAAATGTCACATTAATGAATACAATTAGAAAAAAAAACTCAATAAAATATAATAGAACGTATCATTAAACCCGCTGAGATAAAATTGACCTGGTTATTCAATCCACTGTCTACATATATTTGACTATATGAGGATTGATCTTTTCCGATGTTTAGGTTATATGCATTAAACCGAGATTCTATACCACGAAATGGACCCTCACGTGATAACCTTAGTCCAGCAATCTATCAAGAGCGCCGTGTATTATTATTATAGTGACTTGTATAAATACATTAATACTTGAATTATACAATATACAAAACATTATTAGATCCAATGTATTAGGAGAATCGCGATGAATGCTTACATGTGTTCTAGGACTATCGATTGTTAGCAGATTGAAATGTTTTTCAGTGAAAAGTTGTGCATTTGTGATTAATTCTTTTGTATGTTTCAATACAGGAACGGTTCCTTATGGACATTCTATTTCTTTTTTATATGCTTCATTGTTGTCAGTTTGATTCTTTATTTCATGTATTGAAACTGACGGTTTCATCTTTGAAAAAAGAAAAAGAAAATTGTAGTCAAATTTTAAAAATCACATTTAATCTAAAGTAAATAGGAGAGGAATTCGTGAAACCATGCACCTGTACTGTGTGGTTTTTGAGCAAAAGGTGATTAAGTCCTGGTTACTTATAAATATCAATGCAATCGTATGTTACATTTGTACTTATCTGCTAATAACAATAAAAGACATGAGAATTTGATAACAAAAATTTGCAAGACGATGTTAAATGTATACAAAATTATGATGTTGAATAAATTAAGTAGATTAATCGAAAAATTAGATCAATATAATAGAAGGGAAACGTATGTCTCAAGTTTTTCTTTTAAAGCTGACCGTACCTTGAAGGATTTGAGAGGCAGCATACTTTGATCAGAACGAATTAGGAATGCTGCGAACAGAAGAAGTAAAAGATTCATAACAAAAGCTATCCCACTTTCTGTAGACATTTTATTAGTTTTTATTTCTTAAGACTGCAAATATTCTGTTATTTATATACATAGAGTACAGTATTACAATGCCTAGGAGAGAGAGAAGCAATAGAATCAACACCAAATTTAATTAACGTTTCATTTTGTTTATAGGCAACATATATTCTGAAAAAGATAAGGAAATATGAATAGTTGACTGAAATCATTATGGCAACGAGATCATAATAGTAACGAAATTGGCAGTCAAGAAGTGGCTGACTTATATTAACTTGTCAAGGTAGCTAATTGTAAAGCTAGAAGAAGGTATATATATCCTAAGTGTAATTGAGCAGAATGAGAATATGTTGGGAATACTATTTAATTTATGAGCCTTATGCCCGCGGAACACAAATTAAGCTAAGCCCGATTCATCACTTGGTTCAATTCATGATTCAATGTAAAAAATAAACCTTAATTAAGACACAAGGGTGTTTTATTTTTTTTGAAAAGAATGTTAAATTATATTCAAACAAAAAAAAAGAACGTTTTTACATCAGGAACAGCTTTAGTTTAGAAAGATCGAAAGAGACAGAGATTTTAAGAACAGTTTAATAGTAGTTAGTGAGAGAGACTATCATCTTCTATCAGCTTCGAGTCGCAAACCACTTGGCGAGTGCATCCTCATATCTTGGGTCCAACCTCCGAATCGAAGATATTTTAATCCTTACGGCTTTGTCAATGAGTTGAGTGATTCTTGGGGCTTGAGAATGATGCTCTCCATGACGCCTATTGTTCCTTTCTCTCCAGATGTAAGTAATAGTGGCTTGTAGAACATACCTCAGCAGAAAAGCCTCGATGAGAGGTATGTTTGATTCCAATACGAGCTGAACAATGGCATCCCAACTACAGACATATTTTTGCTGAAGCAGTCCGCGAGTGAGATTTTCCCAGATCTGATTGGTGTATCTACATGAGAAGAACAGATGGTTCCTTGATTCGATCTCTGTTGTGCAGAGTACACAATCCCCGGAAGCTCCCACATTCCATTAAAGCAATCGGTCTCCCGTCACCAAACGGTTGTGCATAGCAAGCCAAGTCATAAAAGAGAATTTGGGTGTTGAGTGCTGAAACCATACCCCTCGGTGCCAAGGCTGGTTCTGTCTCTCTTTTCGAACTTGATCCCACACGTCACGCGATACGAATTTGGCTTGAAAAGTTCCATTTTTCCGTCGCCAAATGGCAGTGTCAACACCCCCCATCTGTCTGCTAGCCGTTTGATCTCGAATGATGTTCTCAATGGAGTTGAGGACGTCATTTCTATGCCTTCTGCAGCGGTGATTATCGAGAACGAAAGCTACAGTTGCATTGATCGAGATTCCTAAATTAATGACCCCCCTTGCTCCTGTGATGTCAATAAGCCGACCCAATGGTGACCAGCTATCATACCAGAATGATGTATGCGCTCCATTTTTCACTGCAACAGTATGAAAGCCTTGAGCGAGATCCCTGTACTTCAACAGTTTCCGCCACATCCATGAACCCGAGTGTTGCTTGTATTTCACGGACCAAAATGATTCCTGCTGTAAGAGATGTTCTTGAATCCAATTAACCCACAAGAAGTCTGTACTTGAGAGGATTCGCCAAATCAACTTCAAGTTGCAGACTAGGTTAACATCAGTGAGCAGACGAATATCTATACCTCCTTCTTCCTTAGGACGGCATACATCTATCCAAGCTAATTTTGACTTTTTGTATTTAACTCTCGACTTCTCTGATACAAGCTTTTGGCAGCCTGAAAGACCCCATCCAGAAGTTTGTTATTTCTCGTAATCACTGAGGAGATAAGCTGCAATCTACCAGCATAAGAGAGGAATCGTGCTGTCCACAAAGAAATCTTTGCACAGATTTTTTCTACTAGCGGCGCATAATCCACTCTCCCCAGGCGCTTGGTGAGCAACGGTAAGCCCAAGTAACGAACTGGCAGAGTACCTCCAGCGAAAGGAAAGAGAGCATCAATCCTTGCTCTTTCTGCAGCCATTACCCCCGCAAGGTATAGTGTGGACTTCTCCAAACTAATTGTTAGTCCAGATAAGTGTGCAAACTCTTCGAAAACTTCTAAGACACCATCGAGAGAGGCCAACTTCCCATCCGTGAAAACCATTAAGTCATCTGCAAAATAGGAGTGTGTCAGTTGCAGGTTCTTGCATTTGGCATGATAGCCGAATTTTCTCCGCTCCGCCGCACTATTTAGAAGTTTTGAGAGAATGTGCATGCTGATGACAAAGAGATATGGGGATAAAGCGCATCCTTGTCTAAGCCCTCTACTACTCTGAAAGGAGCCCGCAAGTTCACCGTTTACTTGGACTGAAAATGATGGAGCTGACACGCAAAGCATGATCCATGCAACAAATCGTTCCGGTAAGCCCATGGCGAGTAAGACATTATTGAGAAAGCTCCATTGCAACGAGTCAAATGCTTTAGAAATATCAATTTTTAGCGCACATCGACGGGAGAGAGAGGGCTTGTGATAGTCCTTGACAAGCTCTATAGCAAGTAGCACATTTTCCATAAGCAGTCGTCCTTTAACGAAAGCAGATTGGTTAGGCGCTATGAAGTTCGGTAAAATTGCTTTGAGCCTGTTAGCCAAGATCTTCAAGATTACTTTGTACAGAACATTGCAGCAAGAAATAGGTCGGTAATCTTTCATTTCACTAGCGTCTTCTTTCTTTGGTATAAGGGCTAGTATGGTTGAGTTGATACCTTTCGGAATGAATCCTTTCTTAAAAAAAGATTGGATTGCCACTGTAAAGTCTGACCCTATTACCGTCCATGATGCTTTGAAGAACTCCGAGGTATACCCATCTGGACCAGGGGACTTATTGCTTGGTATAGAAAACATGACTGCTCTGACTTCTTCATCAGAAACTTCACGAGTGAGCTGCGCGCAATCCATATCAGAGCATCTGTGGTTCATTATCTCCGCCAGTCTTTCCACCGAAGCACCAGTGTAATCTGCAGGGCTGTGTATTAAGAAATCTCGGAAGAACCTCACTGCTTCCTCTTTAATGGCTGCTCCACCCACTAAAGTCTCCCCATTCGAACTTTTTAGTTCTCTGATAGTATTCCTTGATTTTCTTGCTGTAGCTGCTTGGTGGAAAGTTTTGTTATTTCCGTCGCCAATATGAAGCCAGTGTAGTTTTGATTTCTGCTTTAAAAAGCTTTCTTCCAGTTCCGCTGCATGCGTCCATCTATCAAAAGCTTGCTTTTCATCAGCCATAGCCCCCTCTGATGGATCCATTAAATTTATTCTCTGTTTTTCGCAGAGAATCTCATAAGTAGCCTTCGCTTGTTTTGACAGGTTTCCCAGCTTTTATTTTCTTAGCACTCTTAGTTTTGGTTTTAAACTCTTCAGTTTCTTTGAAAACCGATACATAGCAGAGGTAGAGTGGAAGAGGGGTGGGGTAGCCGTCCAGTGATTTTCAACCAATGGGACAAAGCCTTCAAGCGAGGTTATGGTGTTGACGAACTTAAAAGGCTGTCTTGTTTGTCTGTCCTCAGAGTCAAACATAATCCTACAACGTAAATGATCCGAGCACCCACCTGCGTCGAAAACACAGTATGATCTAGGAAAAAATCTGCAACCATTGCTCACTGACAAGAACTCGGTCGAGTTTCTTGCAGATTAGACCTTCGTCATGTTTATTGCACCAAGTGAATAAATGTCCATGATGATGCAAGTCAGAGAAACTGCAGTAGCGAGCAGTTGCTTGGAACTCTCGGGTACCCATCGAGATGCTCGGGTTCGTTGCATATAACGAGTGATCTTCTCCTGCTAGAACTTATTAAAATCACCTATTACCATTCAGTTTTTTATCTTGGAAAATACCTGAATCATAATGACTATGCAGGTCTGCCCAGAGTTCTCTTCTCTCCTCCTCCAGATTTGAAGCGTATATAAAAGAGCAGAAAATTTTATCCTCCTGACCTTCAAGAAGAACAGAGACTGTAATGATTTATCCTGTTTTGAATACCGGTGTGAGCCGAACACCCTCCCTCCACACCACCCAAATTCGCCCAAGACGATTGAATTCATAATTTGCCAGATATGACCAACCTTCAAAGACTAGAGAAACTATTTGATGAGACTTATTTTCCTTGACTCACGTCTCCAATAAGCATTCGAACTGTAAAGACTTATCCTGCACCCACCTCTTCACCACGGAATGTTTTTCTGATTTGTTAAAGCCGCGCACATTCCAGAAGAACCCCAACATTAAGATTGTTTATTGGCACGAACATTCTTTCTTGAAGTATTAGAGGGATTCCCCCTCATACTAGGAGCAGCTTTGCCCGTTAGGTATCTGTGAGCTGATTTAGAGTGGCGTGGCAGGGGGATGCGAGCATCCTCTGTTTTCTCCAAACTCTTCTTGTTCTTTTTTGAATGTTTCCTCGTGCCCTCCAGCGTATGAATTTTGTCATGGTCAGATTCATGTGTTGCTTCTTCATCTTGCTCGTCTTCCATTGATTCATCCACCAACTCCAGAATCTTAAATCGAGATGGAGATAAGAGAAATTCCTTTTCCGCTACTCCAGCTGTTTTGGTAAGAGTTCTGGTTTTCCCCAGTGAGACTTCTGTCCAGGGGAGACCCCCTTCCTCTTCCTTCTCCTTCTCCTCCTGTGACTCAGGAATAATCTCACTGGAGTCTCTTATCTCCCCCATCTCCAACTCCTCTTCCTTTACTAGCTATGTTTCATCGCTTACTATAAGGGCCTCTCTCTCCACTTCTTCTACCATTGTTTCTTTCTCTGGCATACTTTCCCCCATTGTATTCAAATTACTCCTGCCATTTGAACCCGAGGCAACTTGTTTATCTTTCCTTGGACTTATCTTCTGTTCTCGCTCAGATCCTCTGTTCTCAACTTGTCCTCTTGGCAGTTTGTTTTTAATGCACTCATCGTTAATGTGACCCCATTTTGTGCAAGTGGTGCATCGTGGGGGGAGCCATGGGTATTCGTACTCTACCACTGCGTCAATGTTTTTCTCAAGAGACTTAAATCTAAAAGATATTGGGAGCTCCTTCGACAGGTCTGCTTCAACGAATACCTTTGCTTCCTCAAAACTTTTGCAGACTTCGATGTCTGGGTGCAAGCATTTTGGGTCTCCTATGGGGCTAGCCAAGAACCCTAATCCATCCCAGGAGAACATCTTCCGAGGGACATTCTTCAGTATCACCCACATCGGTAGTGATGTAATTTCTGGCTGAGCTTCCTCTGCCACTAGAGACCATCGTGAGACGATCATAGGCACATCTGCAATGTTTTACATGCCCCTTCTTAGGATTCTCTCTCTTAGAGAGCTATCTTTGATTCGAAACTTCACGGTTTGTGCATCAACAACAAACACATCAAACCTTGATTGCTTTATTGTCGAGAGGCCAGATCTTGTTAACTATTACATGTACTTTAGATACATGTGGAGCCGTTGATAGAAACTTTCCGATGAGAAAGTCTTCCCACAAAGGAGTTGAATTGTCGATAACACTATTGGGAATCTCTACACAAGGAGAGCCCTCATGCTCGCTGACATTGATCTCGAACTTTGCCAAACACGATTTGTTTTGTACCACCGCCAACCAAGACTTTACCGTGCCCTCATCTAGCACATTAACCCCTGTCGAAGATCTGCCACCTTCCTCAGTCGGCAGGACCATCGGAGACCCGACGGCTGGCTGCTCGAAGCGTTCCCCCTAGTCGAAGGAACACAAACCCTAGTATCGCCCTTTTTTCGCCCAAGCCATGTCAGCTTGAAAATAACCAGGGTTCTATTTGTGTTTTCTCTGCTTTCCCTTTTAAATAAAAACGACACAAGGGTGTTTTAACGAGTTCGAAAACCAATGTGGTTCCTACATCTCGCAGTGAAAGAGGAAAGGGTAGAAACAAATGGGAGATAGATTCAGGTTTGATGTGATGCAATGTTTGTATGTGGAGAAAGTCTTTGGTTTCACTTTGTCTTGAATCGAGAGTTTGAGTTTAGATTTGGTTTAATTAAAAAGCTATTGGTTGGGTTTCGTTTTTTTTAAAAAGGGCTTGGTTTCGTTTATTTGCGAGAAACAATGCACAAAAGGGCCAATAGCAATTGAAGAGAAGTTTTAAACCAAACCTTCAAATTACAAGAAGAGTCGACAACAGAAGTGAAAAAACCTTACAATGGCATAACTGTACCTTTTACCACAATCTTCTCTGTTGCATATCACTGGCTTTTACTAAAACCCAACTCGAGCAACTTTTTTTATAAGTCGAACCAAACCAGTGACAGGATCTCTCTCTGGTGAAGTCAAATCAAACTGACCCGGTTTGCATAACGCAGCTAATACCCGGTGAAGTCAACCCAAATTATCTATCTCCCTGTTACGGACAAAACTATGGTGTAATCAATGAACACTCGATGAAATAGGCCCATTGAAACAGCAATCGATGAAATAGGCCCATATGAAAAATTGTTTTAAGCCACTGCTCTCAGGCCTGTTCGTTTGGTAATCTGGCCAGATGTAAATATAAGATGTTGTTCATTTTGCTATGCACTAACTGGAAACAAATATCAAACTTATCCAAAAAAATCAGATATTTCAGATGTAAATAAAAGTAGAGTTTAAATACAAATATCTCATATAAAAACCTCTTAATCTAATTAAACTTCTTACTTGTCCAGAGACTCTCTCTTCTCTCACCTTTATCTTTCAGAGAGAGATCTCGTTCTTCTGTTTGCTTGTAATTATGTTTCTTTTGCTACCGATTTATCTTGGCTAATAATTCCGACATGTTCGGACTTCTCTCCGACTTTGTTCGGTTTTTTGTTTTCTTTCGTTTTTTTTTTCGTTTTCTTGTCTCCCCCTCTTCTCCTCTCTTTATCTCGGCTATTCTGATCAATCGGACTAGCCTATTTCTGCCTGTTGTTGTTTGTCTTTCCTCTCTCACCGTTTTATTAGTTCTTTCTTTTGAAGAGTTTTAATTCTTTGCTCCCTTATAGGGTCTATGTTAGGTTTCAAGCAAAGTTTCTCTTTCAAACTTAAGTACTAAGTTGTTTGATTAACTTGTTGAATTAGTAAGTTTTGGCTGCTTTTTCAGTTTAAGTTTTTTGTTGTTCTCATCCTCGGTGATCGATGACACTTCAACCATCTAAGGCAGCGATTTCGACGAGAAGAGTGTGAAGCATGGTTCGTGGAGGACGGAGCTGATTTTCGATACTTTTCGTTGCCGGCGTGGGATACCGGCTTTCATCGGAAGTTTGTCTCCGACAGTGCTTTTCGTCAAAGACTGATGAGTCATCTATCTTATCTTCTTTACGAAGCATGTGTCCTAACACGTGTTTGAATTAAAGCTCTGGTGTATTATTTCAGCAATTTTATTGGCCTTTATACTTTACACATGTACTCTGAATCATGTATGGTTTACCCATTTTGGGTTTTAATGAAAACTGTTTGTCGACAAAAAAAAAAAGTACAAATATCTCATCTAAAAATTATAAATGAATAAAATAATTTTATCTAATCTAAATAATTACAGATCTTTTTTTTTTTGTCAACAACAATTACATATCAATATATCCTACATAATAAATTTCATAAAACCCTAAATTCTGAAAATTTCCAAATTTCATTTGTCCACCAAAACCGCAAATCACTTTTTCGCCAAAACCCATAATTATATTTTTGTCAAAACTATAAAGTTTCGTTTTCCGCCAAAATCATAAAATTCAATTTTCCACCAAAATCGTAAAATTACGTTTTCCCTTCAAAGTGTAAAATCACGAGAAAACCATAAAATTATATTTTTCTGCCAAAATCGTAAAATCACAAAAAATGTTAAATTCTGGTTTTCTGCCAAAATTGTAAAATTATGTTTTCCCACCAAAACCATAAATCACAAGAAACCGTAAAATTATGTTTTCCCATCAAACCCGTAAAATTTTGTTTTTCCGCCGAAACCGTAAAATCACAAGAAAACCATAAAATTCTATTTCTCCAAAATCGTCGTCAAAACCGTAAAATCACAATAAAACTGTAATTTTCTGTTTTTTTAAACTGTAAAATTTTGTTTTCTCTCCTAATCCATAAAATTACGAAAAACCTATAAAATTTTATTTTTCTGCAAAAACCGTAAAATTATGAAAAACCGTAAAAATTTTATTTTCTTACCAAAACCGTAAAATTACAGAAAAATCGTAAATTTTTGTTTTCTCGCCAAAACCGTAAAATCACAGAAAAATCGTAAAATTCAAAACCATAAATTTAGTTTCCTGACAAAATCGTAAATTTTTTAAGATTATTTGTTTTTAAAAAAATAATTATTAAAAATTTGTTTTTTCACAAAAACAGTAAAATAATTTTTTTAGTTATTTTATTGTTAAGTGGATCCGGATGCAAATACAGATACACAAATGAATATGATTGTATCCAGTTACAATATCTAATCAAAAACACAAACAAATAATATCTAGATGCTGCGTCCAAACATGATATCTAAATGTTATATTGAGGCGCTGTGTTCGGGCTTCAATGAAATAGGCCCATATGAAAAATTGTTCTAAGCCACTGATTCAACCACCACCATTTACAAAGCATTAGGCAAAATTATTTTATGTTTTGAATTTGTTTTCCTTGGGGGAGAGAGAGGGAGTACATTATCAGTAGCAATGAGATGGAGCTCTGTTAATAGAGTTCTATAATCTCAACTAGCTCGTTGTCCAAGCTTACACAGGTTCTCTATAACTCTATTACTCGTTTTATCGGCTTATCGATAGCTGCGTAACCAGTGATGATCTTACAAACCTGAGAGTTAGTTCATATTCTACGGGGACTTATGAGCAAACGACTATGTTTGAAGAGTTTCTGAGTTTGTAACGAAAACTGTAGGGATTCGATAAAATTCAACTAACTAATAAGATAATTATATCGCGATTACACATCGCATTTTCTAGTAAGTGTAATCATCCTTTGTAAATTATGCAGTTTGTAGACCTATTAAATATAATTTGCAACTATATTCTCCTGACATCTACTTTTTAGATATACTGTTTACCGGTTTACAGATTACCTTAAAGACCTACGATTATGATGTTGAATTTATAAATATCGGTTTCCTAAAAATGTGCGCAGGTATGAACAAAACATAGTGGATTACTTGCAATGTGGAACTATATATATACATAATACATCATCTGTTTCTTGATTAGATATGCCATTGTTCCACCGGAATTCTAAAGTATTATCCAACTTTGTTTGTGCTAATCAAATATGTCTTCAGTAATACCTACTTGTGCAGACCTACATTTGTACCAGTGTATGATAAAATAGACATCATGATGCATGCAACGTACAGGAATGTTATGTCATTAAAATACATTCAATTTTGGGGCACACTCTTATAGCTAATAACAAACAATTTTTTTATATTTATATATATATAGTTATGTTCTCCCTTAATCATATAAACATACACACGCATGTATATAAATTATAATTTAGCTGACCAGACAGAGCTAAAGAAAATCAAGGGTTATTCCAAGAACTGATCAAGATTAGGGTTAATGACCATAGAAAATCAGGAAAATTTGATGGAATCAATCACTATTATTAAACCGATATTTTTGAGTTTTGTGGTCTGGTTATTCAGAAAGAACAATTCCAAACAAATTGGATCATATGAAATTCTAACTTAAAAGAAAAGAAAGAGAAATTTAAAAATTGATTACCTATATTGGATATTCTTTAATATGATAAATTATCAAGTGGACGACTGATTATGAGTCGAAGAGTTTGCAACATCCTTCTTGACAGCAACGCCGTCGTTTTTAAGCTTCCTCCTCTTCTTCTTCCTGTAGGGAATCCCACGAGCCTTGGCTTGAGATTCTCTCACTTCCCTCAAGTGAACCCGGATCGACCCGTTTGCAAACGGGTTAGTATCCGGTGACCCGCCACCGTGTTCTTCATAAGCAGCTCTCAGCCGTCCGATCAAAGCATCTAAACTTCCCCAAGCTTGTTTGAGAGGACACGTGCACGGTCCTGGCGGATCGGGTTGTCCGAAGAAGACACAAGCTTGGTGATGTACTTTGGTTTTACCAAACTGATCTAAGTACCTGAGGAAACTTAGCACGTGCGTGTAATCGAATTGAGACATCATCAACGGTGGATTTTGCGATTTCAGGTATTGGATGAACGTGTTCCAGTCGCGGCGTTTCTGCGACTCATAGCGGCTGAGCGGTTGCTGCGGTTGCGGTTGAGGAGGAAGCGGTTGCTTGTGGTGGTTGGAGGAAGAAGATGGATGATCCGGTGGATCTTTCGTCGGTGTGCGATGACCCGTAGACATAATTAATTAGGCGAATTCTGATATTTTGTTGTTGTTGTTGTTTTGGTTCATGAAGCAAATTGAAGGTTTAAAAGCGACAATAAAGTAAGGGAAATTAAGAAAGAGAGATACTAGAGAAATAATGGAACGAGGAGACAAATATTGAAGTATTTACGAAAAAATGAGTACTATGTAGTATATACACATAAAGTGACAACAAATGTGTATCATTTCATGCGAATATGAAAATCCTTGTCTTAGTTTATTTGAAAACCATGCATGTTATCACGGACTTATTGAATCAGAATATATGTATTTTTAAGCAATGATGAAATATATCGTTTTTAGAAAACTAATATCCTAGTTAATTGCCCATATATAGGACCTGTGGTCTTTACAATAATTGCAATATCAAATATGTCACCCCAGTTCTTACTTTTTTTTTGAATGCATTGCAACTGAATAATGATAACTGTATAAAAATATCATGCACATTTTATAAAAAAAACTACTAAATTTCGATCTATCTAAAAAGTAAAAATATAATAATTTGAAAACAATAATTCTAAAGAAGAAAATTGTAAATTTGAGATTTAGATCTTATACTAATTTCTGAGATAGTGTGAAAGCTTCATTGTTTTTGGACAACAAATCTATCTAGTTTGACAATTAAAGAAGATCTATTTAATGAGATTTTATTCTTTTTTTCATATACTAGTTTTTAGAGATTGTATTTTGTTATTGTTATGTTCACACGTTACTTTCCATGACTTTATTTGTCATCATCCTAGAAAAAAATAGTTTAGCAACCTACACAAACAATTTAAATATCGACTTCGTAATAATATATATACGAATTAGTACACATTATTATTACTATATTAAAACCAAAAGAGAGAATATATTTCAATGGATGGGACCCGTGAGAAGGTGCTCTCGTTCCTTTATTTTTAATATGAAAATTTCTTATTTTATTCGGTTTGTTAATTATATATTTTGGTCACTGATGTTGGCTATTTATGCACTGTTATGATATACTCTTCTTTAAAAATTCATTAAGAATGATTTGTTTAAGCTATCCATTGTACGACTTAGCAACCCAAATCAATCATTATTAGTTTTAATAATGGTCTATTGATTTATTTCTCCAACTTGCTTAGTTTAGTGGCTATTGTTGAAAATATATATAGCCTATTATATCTATAACTTTATGCATAAGAAATAGTAGATATCAAAATAATTATAATAATTACAATAATAAAGTTGATGCATGATGAGGACCGTCATCATCCTACTCGTAGCAATAAGCAATAAGCAATATATTAGTGAGTATCAAACCTCATAATATTTTTGTTTCAGCAATCTTCAAAGTATTCCAAATGGTGATGATTTATACAAAAGTGCTTTTCTGCCTTTTCATATACGTGAAACAAATGTTTCCTGAACAAAAAAAAACTAACATATATAAAGAAGTAAATAGTGACTCAGTATTTATATAAGTTATCTAAAATACCATAATATTTACGATGCAATGAGTGATTGTTTAAGCATAAATGTGTCTGAAAGTGGACGACTCATAAAAAAATTGGTTTCCATTATCTTACTAAGAATAAAAAAAGGACAAAACAAATCTTTGGTGCTTTCTTTTGATATTACTTTATTATTGTGAAGGTAGAATTCATCGTCACTATTACATGTAAATACATGCCCGTGAAATGAAATTATGAATGAATTAGTAAAACTGATTTAAAAGTCAATCAATTTAATACGTGTTGGTGATTGATGTCTATATATAATACATGATGGAATTGGAAAATACGACTAAAAATGTGGTATTGCAACAAAAGCACCTATTATAGCTAGTTCGCATGCATATTACTATGGGTTGCTCATGGACAAGAAGTACAAGTTCATCGAATAATTTCGAAGACAGAAATACCTAAAAAGCATGAAAATAATGAAATAAAAGAGAAGACATAATAATTAAAGACAAGCATATACACAGATTTAATACCCTTTGTCGGGAATAAAAAACTGGCAGCCGGTGAAATACCAGATTCCGGGTGACCGGAACAAGACTCCCGACGAGAGAAAACCCTAAAAAGCATTGTAGGACAAGATTTTGTAAGAGAAGATCTTGTGTGGGGTAATATATCTTTCGATTTACTTTTGTACGCAACATCAATAGAGAAATCCACTTGATATACACAAAGAAAAAGACAAAAATAAAAATATTCACGTGGAACTTGGGTCCATATGTTTTTTTCACCTGGGATCATATTTATGATATTAATTTTGCAACTGTAATTTTTGTTTGTTTGTTATTATTAAACGGTAGTATTTGATTTAAAACCAGAGGGGAAAAAAATTGATTTGAGAATTGTCCCCAGCCCAGGTTTTAATATTTTAATTTATAAAACTAACTGTCCTTTATTCGCCGTTCATTAATAAGCACATATTTGCACACAAAAAAAGAAAGAATAAGCACATATTTATAACCAATACAAATTGGTAACGAGAATGTCTTTACTCTTTAGACTGAATTTCTCCTTTTAGGTGATTCGAAAATGATGCCGCTGTGACTAACTATAATCATCTTTAAGTTAATGGAACTTTTAGTTTTGCTTAGGTAAAGAAAAAAACAATCGAAATGAATATATGCGATTCCAGTACTGTAAAAGGATTATTATTTTGTTATTATTAATTTATAATTAAAGATTTTGGAACGGAAAATTTGGATATGATAGGTGACCTTGGCGGCGAATATGTAACTCACTCACGCTGGAGAACAACCTGAGAAGACACTTCGAAGTTCAAATCAAGAGATTGTTGTAATTTTTTAGAAAAGAGACTTAATTTGACTATATATATATATATATGGGTATGTTTATACGTCGTTACGTTCATCTTTGTAGTATTTTTTTTATATTGCATTGGTTTTGATTTTCGATGGCTTTTCTAATAGTTTCATCAGTTGATATTATAATTCCTCATTATTTTATTTTTAATAATACTAATTTCGTTTATCATATTGTAAAGTAAAGTGATCACTCAGCCCAGAATCTGCATATGTAATTGTAGTCTACAAGTCATCATGCCTCGAAATTATAAGCCCAATAAAGGCCTATACATGTATGTCTTTATCTCAGGCCCATGCAGATTTACAGATGTTTTGTTTGGGACAAAAGAATTTCGGACAAAACACAAAAGGTGTTTTAAGTGTTCAAACGATAAAAATGAAAGATTATCTGGAAAAGCTGAATCAAACTCATACACATGAACATAAGAATCTAACTTTAGCCTTCTCTAATTATTATTTCATCAGAACTTTAAATTAGGTTCCAAATTAAATAAAGAAGAGTCAGAGTGATTTTAATAATTAATGCTCACCGGTTTTTAATTGATTTGAGTTCACTTTCATTTCTTGCGGGCGAGAGAGAGAGAGAGAGAGAAAGCGACAATGCCGTTGGTGAGGTTCAAGATACGGAACGAGCTAAGCTTAGGTGGGCCGGAGATAAACCGTAGCGCCGCCGTGGAATATGAGGAGCCGAAGGCGATTCTCGGCGCTGTTGAAGTGGCTGGACTCGTCGGAATCCTTCGTCAGTTAGGCGATCTCGCCGAGTGAGTTCTCTTTTTTTTTTCTCCTTCGACTGTGTATACACAATCAAAGAAGATTGAATTCGGATATTTTTAGCTATTTTCCGTAGGTTTCGAAGCTGTTTTCTCGTGATTAGGATTGATTATTTAGCTCCATCTGTTTTATTTCAGTTCAAGTAATAAGGGGTTTTCAGTAGCAATCTATGTTTGATTTTCGTCACGGCTTAGGGCTTTTTCGCAATAGTTTTGAGTAGAATGTAATTAGTTGTCTTTGAGTGGTAAAGTGTTAATTAGTGAATGTTCTGTAAGTACATCAGCATAGTTAGCTTGAGTGTACGACGTTTGCTTTGACATTTATGTGGAAATCTAATCTATTGATGATGAGAAATTGAAGTTTCTTTAGTTGGAACAAGGAATAAAGAGGTTTTGGTTGTTTTTCACGGGAAGGTTAGTGAAGTGGCGTTGAGGGTTTTGCAAGAAGACGTTAATATTTTATAATCAAAAATTCATCTGTATCGTTCCCACATGTAACGGAACATTAGTTTGCTCGAAGCGAATGTGAACACTGATAAAGAGAGTTGTTTAACCAGGTGGCATTTCTTACATGTAGATTTTCCGCAGAAGTGTTTAGCGGCATACAAGAAGAAGTGACTGTTACAGCGTCTAGGTGTCAGAAACTGACAAGCCGTGTTAAACGGATAGAGTCAGCGCTGTCACCTCTTGAAAAGGCTGTTCTTTCACAGACAAGCCACATACATTTTGCATACACAGCAGGTACGGCTTTACTCTCTCATCTCTAATCTTCTGGTCTGAATTTCAATTTTTTAGTTTTGGAGTTTCTATGTGTCTATATGCCTTCTAGCTCTTTGTCATGTTACCACTCTTGCTGTGTAGACTGAGGAAAGCTTATATGAACACATATCCTCCGTGTGATATATAGTTGTGATCTTTTGTACAGATAAATTCTTAGTCTTGTTGTTTTTGTTTCTGCTCTAGGTTGTGAGTGGCATCCTCGTATAAGGAATGGACAAAGACATTTTGTTCAGAGTGATTTGCCACTGTGTGTTATGGAAACATATGAACAATGCAGAGATCCTCCTCCTTTACATCTGCTTGACAGGTAAGGGACAAGCTTTTAGTTTCATCCCCTCATATAGTATGTAGAAATTAAATGAATTTGGATCTGTATTCTGAAGTAGCTGATGTTTTTTTTTTTGCACGACTTGCAGATTTGATGATGGTGGTCCTGGATCTTGTCTGAGAAAATACTCAGACCCAACATTTTTTAGAAAGGAATTAAGCAAACACAGTAAAGCAGATGATATCAAAGTCCAGAGAGATCAGGCTCACCGCAAAAGAAAGGTTTGTAATAGAATCGTGTGACTTAAAGAAAATATGATTCATTAGATATCTCAAGAGCTATCCTTTTGGCTGTGTTCTACTGTATTTTGTATCTGATTTGTGCTTTGCTGAAATGACAGAAAAAGAGGTTACCACAACGAAACATTTGCAGATCACATGCAGTGTCTACGTCCGATGAAACTAATGGGTTGGTGATTTTTAAATATAGACGTAGTAGTTCATGTTCTATATTTTCAATATAGTGGTTCTTGACAATTTAATGTGTTAACTCGTCCTTATTGTGCAGGGCTCGTCTCAGTTCTCTAACTGATGAAAGACCAACCACTTCTCAGAGTACATCCACAGTTGACATGGCACGTAGCTCTAATATGCAGGATGTATCTGATACTATAGATGCGCAAGTACAAAGTGAAGCACAAGTACAATCAAAACCTCGTGATTCTATAACTGGTTCAGGTTATATCGAGTATGTCATCAACCAAAGTCCTGTTAAAAAGCCTGGAGTGAACCTAGTTGAGGGATCTCTGTCTGGTTCCTTACAACCTGCTAATAGAATAGTTTCATCTGTTCCTGAAGACTGCATTGAAGTTGTGGATGAGAATGTACTATATAGCCCTTCAGAAGACATACCTGTGCCTCGTGCTACTATTGTCTGTGATGAGAAGAAGGAAACACTTGAATTGAGAGTTGAGGAAAGTAACAAAGATGAAGCAGCGTCGGAGATACATGAGTCAAAGTTCGGTCCAGGAACACCAGACAGGGTGAGGCAAAACCAAAGGGACTTTGGTAGGACATATGATTTCTTCGACGAGGTAGATGTCGTGGGAGAAACGCAAAGTAAGAGCCAGGCCAACAGTATTGATGGAGAACCAGGAATTGAGAACGAAGGAGAAGATGAGAGTGAGCAAGGGAGTGAAGCAGATGAGTTTGTGGATGCACGTAATACAATTGAATCTGAATCAGAGAGTGAGCATGATGGAACACCAAAACCGAAACTGGAGCATTATTTTGGAGATATTAGCACTTACTGTTCAGAAGATGCTAACAGTGAAAACAATGATGGATCAGAAGATATACCATATGAAAAAATGGCAGAAGATCCACGCCATGACAACTCCCTAGATGAAACTTGTTCAGGTTCCTACCTTCCTGAAGATGCAATTTTTTCCTGTTGGCTGTCAGATCCAGTGTATGGGCAAACTCTGTCTCATGATGATGAGACTTTTCAAAAGCCAAGGGAATTTTTTACCATGTCTGAAGAAGCCGTTCCTGATGTAACAGTTTTGAGAGAAGAACCTGTTGCCGCACATACCTTGGTGGTAGGAAACTGTGCTAATGAAAACATCTCCTCTGATGAATGTATTTCGTCAGAACCGTCTCTGAAAGATGCTATTCCTGCTGAAAAGATCTTGCCAGAAGAACATTCAGCAAACTATCCATCTCTTGCAGAAGCTGTTCCCCACGAAAAGATCTTGCCAGGAGAGTCTGTTGCCAAATGTCCATCTTTTGCAGAAATTTTCCCCCAAGAAAAGATCTTGCCCGAAATATCTGTGGTAAAAGCTATGCCTGACAGTATGACCTCTGCAGATACTGATCATCCATCATTTCCCAAAGCTGTTCAAGAGAAGACAGTTTCACAAGAAGTTCTTGATTCGAAAAATTTGCCTGTACCAGAGGCTTTTTCACAAGAGCAAATCTCACTTGATGAAAGGTTCTTGACAGAAGAACCTGCAACTACATGTCTGCCTTTGACAAAAGCCATGCCTATCGAAAAATTATTGCCAGAATCGTATCATTGTTTGGCAGAATCGCCTAGAGAAAAGATCCTGCAAGAGAAATCTGTTGATTCTATACATCCATCTTGTGCCAAAGATGCTCCAGAAATAAATTTATCACCAGAAGTTCTTGATTCCACAAATTTGTTTGTGGAAGAAACTGCTTCACAAGAGCAAATTGGACTTGAAGAATTTGTTGGCATAGATCCTTGTATAACAGAAGCTGTTCCGTATGAAAGGGTTTTGCCAGAAGAACAACCTGTCACCACATGCCTGTCTTTGACAAAAGCAGTGGCCGCTGAAAAGGCCTTGCCAGAAGAGCTTTTGGAAATATATCCTTCTTTCGCAGAGTTGCCGGAAGAAAAGATCTCGCATGAAGAAACTGATAATGCTACACATCCATGTGAAGGTAGTGATGTAAAAATCTCACCGGAAGGTTATGATTACACGAATTTGTCTCCAGAAGAAGCTCTTCCACATGAGCAAAACCCACTTGAAGAATTTGTTGGCATAAGTCCGTGTTTGGCAGAAGCTATTCCTGATGAAAGGTTCTTGCCAGAAGAACCTGTCACCACATGTCTCTCTTTGACAAGTGCTGCAACAATTGAAGAAGTCTTGTCAGAAAAACCTATGGAGACATATCCTTCTTTCGCCGAATTGCCTGTAGAGAAGATTTTGTATGAAGAAGCTGATGATGCCACACATCTATCTCTTTCTGAAGCTGTTAGTGATGAACAATTATTACCAGAGGTTTCCACAAATTTACCTGCGGCAGCAGCTATTCCACAAGAGAAAACCACACTTGAAGAATTTGTTGGTATAGATCCATGTTTGGCAGAAGCTGTTCCTGATATGAGGGTTTTGCCTGAAGAGAATATTTTGCATGTAGAAGCTGATGATGCCACACATCCATCTCTTTCTCAAGCTGTTAGTGATGAACAAATCTCACCAGAATCCACAGATTTGCCTGTGGCAGCAGCTGTTCCACAAGAGAAAATCACACTTGAAGAATTTGTTAATACAGATCCATGTTTGGCAGAAGCTGTTCCTGACAAGAAGGTTTTGCCAGAAGCACCTGTTACCACATGCATGTCTTTCACAAAAGCAGCAGTGTCTATCGAAGAAGTCTTGCCAGAAAAACCTTTGGAAGATTATTCTTCTTTGGAAAAACCGTCTAGCGATAAGATCTCGCAAGAAAAATCTGATGATGCCACACATCCATCTTGTGCCAAAGATGAAAGTGATGAAGACGTCTCTCCAGAAGTTCTTGATTCCATAAATTTGTCTGTGGCAGAAGCTATTCCACAAGAGGAACCCGCTCTTGAAGAATATGTTGGCGTAGATCCGTGTTTGGCAGAAGCTGTTCCATATGAAAGGGTTTTGCCAGAAGAACCTGTCACCACATGCCTGTCTTTGACAAAAGCCTTGTCAGATGAACCTTTGGAAGTGAATAATTCTGTATTAGAATTACCAGAAGAAAAGATCTCGCAGGAAGAAGAATCTGACGATGCCACAAATCCATATTTTTCTGAAGCTGTTGGTGATGAAACGATCTCGTCACTAGAAGGTCCTTGTTCCACGCATCCATCTTTGGAAGAATCAGTTCCACAAGAGGAAACCTCACATGAAGAACCTGTTGGCACAAATCCGTTTATGGAATCAGCTTTTTCCAACGAAATTAGTTTTCTAGACGAACCTGGCGTCACATTCTTGCCAGAAGAACCCTTACTTACATATCCATCTTTGGCAGAAGCTGTACCTGATGAAAAGATCTCTCTAGAAGAACTTGATGGCACATGTCCACCTTCTGTAGAAGCTGTTTCTGATGAAAAGATCTCAGGCTCAGAAGCTCCTGCTTACACAACAGAAGATGATTCTCCACACAACAAAACCTTCTCTGAAGAACCTGTTGTCACTGATATGTCATTGACTGAAACTATTTTGATTGAAAATTTCCCCGGCTTAGAAACTCCAGGTTCCATTACAGAAACTGGTCCACACGACAAAACCTTCCCTGAAGAACCTGTTGCCACGTATCTGTCCTTGGTAGAGCCTGTTCCCGACGACAACATTCCGCCAAAGGAAACTGCTGCTGCATATCTGGATTTCGCAGAAGGTATCCCAGACCAGAAAGTATTTTTGGACGATGCCGCGTTTTTATCTTTTGCAGAAGCTATTTTCGATCAAAAGTTCTCACCAGAAGTTCCGGATTCCACGTATCCTTCTTTGACTCAACCAGAAATGACTACTGCACCACCATCCTTGGTTAAAGAAGCTGATTCTGCTGATAGAGCAATTCCACCGAGTGGTGGCACTGTCACGATTTCTCCAGATACTCAGGAATCTCTGTCAAATGGTACAATGGTCGAATCAGTAAGTATATGGAGCAATGGGGGACTCCTTGGACTTGCGCCATCGAAACCTCCAGTGTTTGCTGAGCCTAGTTCTGTAAGCGAACATCTACAGAACGAGATCAACGAAGCTAGCGTTCTTGCTACAAGGAAGCAGGAAGCTACTGAGAAGAGCTCACTTCCATTAGTGGTTTCAGATCCCACCTCTCAACAACAAAGCAGCATGCTGAGTCATTCTAATGGATCTCTCTCTGACCTGCACAGCACTGCAACATCATTCAAAGTCTTTGGCTTAAGTCATAGATTACTCATGGCTGGCTTTCGCGGAAACACTTCTTCAACTTGCAAATTTGAGTCCATACCTACCACTAGCTATGGTACCAAAGTAGCAGCTATCGAAGACAAGAAGACTCAACAGCAAACTCCCCGTGGCTCAAGCTTCGAGGAGCAACTGGATTATGAGTCATCTCTACTTGGCTCCCCTACTTCATCACCACCGGTTCAACATATGAAAATATCATTCAACACGATTAATCCCTCTCCAGTTTCCAAATTGAAACTGAGAATCCCTTGCCAACCTCAGCACACCGGTGAAAATGCGGATATGTTCCCTTCGTTTCAGTTGGTTCCAGAGGCTAGCAACTCTGATGATGACGACAACAGCGATATCTTTTGTCAGTCATCTCCTTGTGTTTCAGACAATTGCTTGTCGGATTCTGAGCTGTGGGAATCTGATGAAAGCCCTAGAAGATCTGCATCAAGCTCGAAAGAAGTTGGAGAGAGGATTTCACATGGCGATATGGGTTCTTTTTCCGGTTCGTTTCTTGATCTTCCATGTTTCGACTCTGTTGATCACCAGTCAACTTCTTCAAGACCAAAGCAAGACCAAAAGCAAGAACAAGAACAAGAACAAGTTGTAGAATATATACCATCTGTTTCAGAGATCATACGTGATTGGCCACCAAACCAATCAAAAAGCAGTTCCAGCAACGAAGCAAACGCAAACGCTGTTCTGAAGAATACGCAAAATCAATCCGTCGGGTACTTAAACCAAAACTCTCTGTTTTTTTCTTTTTCTTTTTCATTTTATCATTTGCATTAGTAGCAGATCATTAGCCTCATGAGACTAACAAAACAAATTCTTCACTGTTAATTAGGCCGTAGCTGCAGATGACGACGGTGAAAGATAAAAAACAAAAGGAATCTAATTGATTCCTTGTACATTCCGCTCTGTGATATCAAATTTCTTATTTCATGTAATACAAACAAACACTATTTATATAAATATAATCAGAAAATTAAATTGATGCTCGGAAAAAAAGATAAATAAATTATTTAATTACCGCAATTTTTTTCGCATTTTTATCAAATTACACTTTCTTGTCGTATATAAGAAAACAAACAATAGAGATGACAGTTAAATAACGATCTTTGAGGTGGTAGAAGTCGCCGTCATCATATTTAGAAGGTGACGTCAGGAACGATTCCGAGCTCCTTGAAAGCAGCGGGACACTCAGCTAACGGCGTCTTAACCATGAAACCGAGAGGGTTAACGATACGTGTCTCGTGGGAGACGATTCCGTCGTTCGCCGTCAGGCTGATCTTAGCGGCGTTACGTAGGTAAGCCTCTTTACTGACGTCACTGCAGCCACTGTCTGGTGACTGGACGAGCACGAGCTCGCAGACCTCCTCCTCGTGGTCACCGGTCACTTGCATTTTGTAGCTCCCTGTTTTGTCCGTTACGGCTTCTTTGGTCAACGTTACGGTTCCGTTTGCTCTGCTCCTGCACTCTAGCTTCACTTTCGCGCCTTCACCCACCAAAAACAAAAAGACCATGTAAATCAAATGAATAGTATAGATCAAATATCAAAATAATCCAATAGATTAGTTTTGATAATATAAGCATGTGTGTATATTATACCTTCAAGGAATTTGCTGAGACGGGTAACGAATTGGACACGGCATGTGTCGCAATAAACCGATCCCTGAATTTGGAATTGGTCAAAGTCATCGGCGTCAGCGACGGCCTTACCGACGAGAGACGACAGGCACACGGCGGAGACAAAGAAGAAGAAGATGGCTTTGGTGGTGGCCATTTTGTTTGAAGATGTTTTTTAAGGTTCTTGTCTTTTTGATACCTCTTCTCGTTTTTCTTTCTTGAGATATAGATGTTTTAGAGAAGAGGACAACTAATTCACAAGAGCCACAAAGTTCGGTTTTATACAGAAAGAAACTATTTGTTATTTTTAGCTAATTTTGTGGAAAAACCGTTTATTAGTAAATTAACTAATTGGTTTCTTGCAAAAACCAATAATGAGGTTGTTAAATTCTTTTTAATTATAGCCTCTAGTTTCCAAATGTGTCTTCTTTTGGCTCCCTGTTTTTTCTCTCTTTGGTTATTCCCCTAAAATTAGAAAGAAACAGAGAAATGCACATAACTGCTAATAGATTCTCTCTGTTTGAATTTAAGGTACTCTATCATTAAGCTAATGAACCTTTTGTTGGATTTATATAACTAAAAACACACATTAAGATGTTCAATACACAATAAGGCTTAATCTGATCTTATTATAACAACTAGTTATCCAGGAGTTTTTTTAACCTCTTCTCCTTTCATACAGTTTCCAGATTCGGGTTCGGGTTTGGTTCGCTCTTACACTCGTCTAACCGGCTTTTATGAAGCTGGAAAGCCGGATTAACCCACGCACCACAGCTACATTGCATACCAGCCCAGTTGAAATAACCTAACCGGGCATTACATCCCAAACAAAGAAGCTTCTCTTCAACAGATCCATCATGAACTGCAACAAGAACCAAAACAAATAGTGTGTGTTAAGATCATTAGAAAGAACTTCAAAGATTAGAATAAGCTTATATAGAGCAAAGGGCTTGTTTTAAGTAAATCAAGAAAGATTCTAACTTGTTTGCATCCACTTCATAGGCTCGACAAAGATGGAAGAGCATTGCACTTGTACAGAGTTCCCGCTTCTCTTTTTCCAAGCAAAGCATTCTTCACCTTTCCCAGGCTCATGCGGGACTACGTTCTCCTCAATAGCGACTATTCTTCTGCATTTCTTACATCGGTACATGGCCTGAGGCTTTGGGAGAGACTCCTGCGTAGAAGTATTGGTCTCCACATCCATTTGCAATTCGGTCATAGCTTCTCTTCTATCTTAAGTTTAAGGAAAAAAGAAGCCTCAGACTAAAAGAAGTTTCAATCTGATGATATCCAAATAGTTCAGGATCAACATAAAGGTTCAAGTTTCACAGTTTCTAAGCACAATGAATGTTAGATTAGAAAAAATCCTCGATTTGTTGTTAAACCGAGTAAAAGTTAAGATTTTGAAGCTACCCCACAAGTCCAAAAATTGGATAATCACAGAGAAATAATCTACAAACAGAATGATCCTATGCGATGTTCTTATTTTTAGAATTCTTAAATCCCTAATAAAGTTGTCAGCTTTCTAACAAGAATTGATTTCCTCTAATCCTACAGATTAACCATGCGAACAGACAAGAGACAGTGTACATGTAATTCAATTTCAAGAGTAACGCATTACCCAAAAACGTGAAAAGTTTAAGAATCAGCACGGAGAAGAAGAACAGTACAAACAACAGCTCAAACCAGACAAACCCTAGGAAAGAAATCCATAAACCTCCACGTAAAGACAACAAGCAATCAGAAACTCAAAATAAGAAAAAAAAAAAAAACGAATCACCTTTTGCCTAAGGGTGGTCGTGAGCTACACTGATTTCTTCTTCTTCGTGACAGTCACAAATCTGTTCAGTCTATGTTTAGGTTTTGTCCTATGATTCTTCTTCCATGATGGCTATTGGCTAAATCTCCCAATACCCCGGTTTAACCGAACCAGGCCAATTCTCAAACGATGTCGTTTGAAATGTTAGACTGGGCCGTGGGCCTCGACAGCGAAGAGGGACTATACCGATGAATATAAATGTCGAACGAAGCTATATCTCCCCAATAGCCCGGTTTAACCGAACCAGACCAATTCAAAGTTGCGTATAATTAAAATTTGAAACTTTAGACTTATCTGCCAGGTTCCTGAACATTTTTTCTTCAAAGTTGTGTCATGTGCGTATAATTGTTTGGGTCAACAAATGTTTTTTCCTTTTTGAAAGTTGTAATATAGCTTATATATAAAGTTCTAGACCATCTAGAGTTTATTAAAACATTTGACTATTTATGTTACAATCTAGGTCCCCAACTCATAAGAAGACCAAAACACTAAACAAGAAGCATATGTATCATAGTCAGATTAACAACTAACAGAGTCTACCTTAAAAATTAACATGAAACAGAAGAGTTTTCAATACGAAATGCGAAGATCATCAAATAGTTCAAGCGTGAAACTAACATGAAACGACAAGAACAGCTTCAGACACTAAAAACCAAATGCAAGATATGTCAATTGCTCCAACCTGAAGAATCTACAAGAAAAAAAACGCAACGAAATAGGTTCGTTCGACATTCATCGATCGCCTATAGTACCATGTGTTTTAGATGAACATGTGTTTAAACTCACCATTTGCGAGCTTGCATAGTTCATTATAGTTCTGTGCATCTGCAAGCAAAGCAAAATCCAGATCAAGACACAAGAAGAACTCAAGCCAACATGATTCAAATGGTATAATCGAAGACTCAAACATCAAAGAATGATCTTTTGTTCTAGAGTCATACCGAAATTATCTCCAAAGTTGGTCCAAACTTCAGCTCGAATGGTGTTTTCAGGCTCGGCGATTCCAATCACCTCAACGAAAGTAGTTAGAGACGGAGGAGGAGAGCCCTTAACGACAATCTGCTGATCATCAGTCGATTTCCCAATCACGGATCCGGTATCTGACCGGATTACTTGAACCACCGCTCTCACTTTCTGACCACTGTACCGCCTCAACAAAGCTCCATTGACAAAAGCTGCAGGACTTGAAGTATCCATACCTATAAATCAGAGTTTTTTTTTAGTGTTCGTCACTGAAACTGGAGATAGAAATCAATTGATGAACATTCAGATTCCAAGTCGAAATCTTGAAGATCTTTAAGATTTAAAGGAGAAGAAACATAGCTAGATATTACGAAAGCTATAAGAAAATCAAGCAAACGAATCAAGCAGAGAGATTTTGATCTAAGTCGGAAAAAGTTTGAAACTCGACGAAATTAGACTTCACTAGATTACCCCAATAAGAAGAAATTACAAAACCATTATGGTTTAACAGTACCTGAATACGAAACCGGAGACAATTTTCCGGCGAGGTACGCGGTGGCGGGAAGGAAACCCTAATTTCTAGATTTACGAATGAGAAGTGAAGAAGATGGAGAGGTTTTGTTTCCCGGGGGGCCGAGAAATAATACAGGGTTTGTTAACCGAACCGGATTTCTGGCTCGGTTTTTTTAATTTGCGAAGGAAGCTAAACCGTTGGATATCGAGTTAAATCAGGGGACACGTCATAAATTAAATGAAAAAGCCATAAAAAGTTAATTAATTATTAACCTTATTTTATGGTAACAACAATATAAAAGGAAAACCCTATATATACATAGACCGCCACAAATATTTTTCCATCAACGCTAGTCCATAGTCAATCTCTCTGTTAATCCCTGACTGAGATTCGAGATTTCGTTCAAGTTCCAAATTTCTCGAGATTGAAAACTCTCCTCTCCGTTAATCTTCCAAGGTAAGCGTATGATTATCTGGGGATTGATCTGTTCAGTCATTATTTCCCCTTTCGTTGCTCTGTTCTTAGGTTTTGGGATCTGATTATCTGATTCTTTCGATGTGTAATCACGGAAATTAGGGTTTCAACAGTAGTTGCTTGCGGAGAAAATTTTCTGTAAATTTATGTTTCGTACGATCTGAAGTTCTTGATTTACTAAGGTTTTCGGCGATTGGGGTATACAAAGATCGAAACTTTTCATCTGAAAATATCCAAACTTTTTATATTTTTGGCTGATCACTCTGTTTCCAAGATAAAAAAGTTTGTTGCAATTGCATCGCCTGATGATGAATCTAACATGCGCCGATTTTTTTCTTGAATCAAGACATGGCACTATTCGCACCGGTTTATGCTGCTTCTGTTGGCTCCATGGAATCTCGGAAGAGGAAAGGCAATAGTGAGCTCACTTGTCGCGGTTTGGTTTCTTTTTTACAACTTCAATAAATCGTGTTTCATTATGCTTTTTGTTCTTCTTGTTTGATGTTTCTCACTTTTGTTGTTTGGTACTGAAAATTTGGTGTCATGATTGATTTTTACAGGTGTTCCTTTACCATATTTGATCCGACCTCGTAGGAAACTGCCCGTTTACGACGGCGTCGCGCTCTACAATGATTACATTGAATATGCATCTTTCGAAGGTACTACTACTAGATAAAACATGTTCATAAGCTCTTATATAGTACTGTAAATATCTCTTCATAACTTTCTTTATATGTGGATTAGATCTCGAGAGCGATGATGATGATGACTCATCAATGAAGGCTGTTGAAACCTCCTCGTTGGAGAAAGGCAATATCTTTGGCCTTACGAGTGAGAGCAATGCGAGTTTATCTGAAACTGGTAACTAATATTCGATCTTTATAACAATTCTTCGTCCGTTCAGTTTATGGATCTGAAATGTCTTTTTTGTATCAGCAGGTCATTCGCCGAATGATGAGTCAGATGAAGAATATGTGATTGTGAACAATGTTGAAGCTTTGCCTACAGCTACAGCTAAACCAGAGAGAGCAGGAGCTATTCAAATGGTGTGCATTTCTCTTAACTTTTGGCTTGTCTTTGAGTATATAAATTCTTGTAACAATACCGTCTTCTTCTTCAGATGGAACTCTCAAAAGATGCAGTTGATGAGCCTGAATCCGAAGATGAAGGATCCAGCAGTGATGGTTGGGTGGTTCTGTAATTAGGAGGTTGCAATCAAAATTGGAGGATTATGATTGGGGGGTATTAGGAGGACAATGGATAATTAGTTTTATTATGTCTTTTAGTTTCTTGGCCGCGACATGTTTGTGAAACTTTTATCAGTACATATGATAAAGATGGTTTTTCAGATTCGATATGATCCTTTTTTTTTTAATAAGAAGAGAATTTCGTATATTCACATGATTTGTCTGTCTCAAAAAACAAATTTAATAGAGAAAATGAGAACCAAGTACCAATGAAGTGGTCATGAAGCTAAGATTGCTTCAACAAGGGGTAGATCGAAAAACAAGCTTATGTTGATGTGTTTGGCTTTGACACTGAACATGGCATGATCTCGCTTTATCTCTTAGCTCTTGAAATGCCCTCATTGTCTCTGCATCAAATCCTCCTGCGAACTATACAAAAACAGAGGGTTTTTAAGAGTTTGGGACAGTCAAATGTTGTAATAGAACCAAACCTAAACCGAAGATGATGATGATGACCAATGTCTTATAAGTTTACCTGATGAACACGGAATGCGAATCGAACACCTTGAACGATAAGCTCTTCCTCTTCAGGGCCACCTCCTCCAATGGCTTCAAGCTCTGCCGATACTCTCTTCATATACTTCATTGCGAGTTTAACGGATGCCAGTTTAATCTGAAATCACATTCAAAACACTACGCTTAATACAACAAAAAATCTGAGAATCTGATTCTATAATTAAAAAAACTCATGAATCCCAAGGCAAAAAAGACAAGGGAGGCAGACAAACATGAGAAAATCTTGAAATTCACAGGCGTGCACATAGGAAAACCCCAAATATATTAAAGTTACACTGTATTCAAGTTTATTTGGTTCAATATTTGTTTATATGTATCATTTTGTCATGTAGTACATAATAGTTTTACCATGAAAACAAGCAAACACAATAATAGAGTAAAGACAGAATCAAACCAATATTTTTACATTGTCCTGCCAGTGCCAGCAACAATTGACTTTATGAGAAAAAATGGGGACCATGAGAATTGTTGTTGTTCTTGTTGTTTCTATATATTATCTTCTTCATCACTACTCCAATCAAAGTGCAATAAATAGCTAAAAATGGGAAGTGAGCAATGGTCCATATGTAAACTAATTTACCAGAGGTGAAATCAGACCATTAAGCAAAACCAAGATCATTAAACGTTAATCTCGAGTTAACTAATTATGTTGCTGACCTGGCTAGTTATGCCGGTTTCGAGCATCCAGTCAACCGGAATCTGGAAACTCTTGAATTTCGCCGCCGCCGATTCCTTCATCCTCGACAAACTATAAACACCATGCTCTAACCTTTACAACCCACAAAAAAGGAAAGATTTTGTTAATTATCTTAATCAAAAGATTAGAATTTGAGAATATGAATTGAAGAATTGGAGTTTGTTTAGTTTACTTTTCGAACAGAGCTTGCATTTTTTTGAGAGCAGAGCCTGAAGGTTGACGAGGATCTTCCCGGAAACGAGAAGCTTCCGATATGAGTTTCTTCAGATCGAAATAACAAAACGCTGCTTCACGCAAAGCATCGGCTTTTTGCTCCGGCCATTCGAAGTGTTTCAACACTGCTCTCTCATCAACCTTTAAACAAAATACAAATTTACAAAATTCAAATTGACAATTTCAAAGAAATTTGGTTTATAAAACTGGAAACTTTTGAAAGTTGATAATCATACCAGGTAAGAGAGTTCGTCGTCGAGCCATTTGACGAAAGGCACGACGTCTTCGATGTCCGAAAACGCAGCGTTTTCGACTTCTTTGATTAAGAACCTTATGAAATCTCCTTGCGTTTCTACGTCGGTTTTTATCTGCAATGTTCGGTTTAATGTTAAAGCAAACCGGTTTGTGATTATGAATTTTGAAAATTTGGCGTAAAGGTTCTCGAAAAAGGACGAGGAAAAAGTGGAACGACCGGTCAATTCACACTGACGCAAGACAAAACTAAAAAGAGAGGCTAAACCGAAATTAATGAGCTGGTTAAAGAGAATTTACCGCTAGGAGATAAACCGATCGGTTTTCGATTTCTCCGATCATGTCTCTGGCATTGGAGCTAGTGAGTAATGCCTCTGCGGCGGCGTTGCCACCGCCGGTAGAATCTCTTCTCGAGTTTGTGGAGTCTCTTCGCATCAACGAGTGATAAAACTCCACTACTTCCGGCACCCTTCTTACTTTCGCCGACGCTATGTTTAAACTCTTCGGCGGCGGCGGTGGAGGAGGCGGAGGAGGGGCTTTGGAAATGGAAGGAGGAGGTGGTTGCTGAAGAAGCGGTGGCGGAGGTGGAGGCGGAGGAGGTGGTGGATTCGTTCTGTGCGGTGGCGGATCTGCTCTGTTCTCTGTTGAATCGACTAAGCCGTTGGATGAAAAAGACCGTTTAGGCGGCGGTTTTGGGACTCTCGGAACTCTAGATCTGACGGTTGAGAGTGATGACTCAGTGAGTTCCTCCGAGTTACTCATGGAATGGCGCTCGATCTCGTCTTTCCTGTAAATGTCTCCGTCGGCGTCGCCGGATGAAGCGGCCTTGTTGTGCTCTTGGTTCGGAATCGGGTCGGGTATGTTCCTCATTGACCCGACCCGTTTCAAGCTCCTGATTAGACTCGATTTCGCCGACACATCCATTAAACCCTGAAACCTCTGAGAAACCGAGAGCGAGTGGTCGTCATTCTCCCTCAGCGACGACGAAACAAGTTTCCTTAGCTCCACCGTCTCCGCCTCCATCTCCTTCTCTCTCCTCTCGCTCTCTCTCCTCAGCTCCTCGCTCCTTTCAATTTCTCGCCGCAACCTCTCGTTCTCCTCCGCTAATCTCGCCGTCTCTTTCCTCCAATCGTCGATTTCGCCGTTCTTCTCGGCGATCTTCGATTCGAGCAGAGGGATAACGGAAACGGATTCCCTGAGGAGCTTGAGCTCGAGAACCTCCGTCCTCAACAGAGCCTCTCTCTCACGAAGCTCCTCCACCTGACGACGAAGCTCAACGACGAGGCCGTTTTGGTCGGAAGAGCGAGAGGAAGCATTGTGTACCTGAGCAGAAGCGCGTGGGAAGTAAACGCCGAAAGAGCGAGTGAAACCGGGTTTCTGATTAGAAACAGGGTTCGTCGGTTTGCCAGCTGAACCGGAAGGAGGTTTAAGCGGAGGAGGTGGTGGAGGAGGAAGAGGAAGAGGGAGAGGAGAAGTCATGTCTTTTCGTTTGCTTGAAGGCGATTTGTGAAAACCCATGGTTACACGGACTTTACCAGCCACCATTGATGATGATTGAGAAAAAAGGGAAGCTTCAAATTCGTTTGATAGATATGATTGAGAGTGATTTTCAAAATTTTCTTGAGAAGAAAGGAGGGATTTGCATGGAAATTAAAAGCATGTCGTTGTCCGTGCAGTTCTATAGAGTGTGAGAGAGAGAGAAGAGAGAGAAAGAGAGTGATAGACTGATAGTGATGATTCAAAGTTTGGGCCTTTGGATTAAGAAGAAGATGAGATGAGAGGAATAATAAATAAAGTTTTGAGTTTATTTATTCCCTTTATTTATTTGGTTTTGTAATGTTTTTTTAAGTAAATAAATTGGTTAAAACGCTTTACCTTTTTTCGACCGTTGGAAGAATAATCTTACCTCTAACATATGAAATTGAATCTATGCTTTATTTTTTAAGTAGTGTTACACGTATAACGAGGAACGTTCTTCTGTTCCTCTAAAAATTCAAATTTTTAAAACAAGTAAAGAAGAACCCTTTAAGGCTTTGGTTTGTTGCTTCGATTCTTTTCTTTATTTACCTTTATCTTTGACAATTTCTGTTTTCATTGGCAATATTGCTTGTCTTTGACAATTTCCGTTTTCATTGGCAATATTAAGCAGTGCCGTGCCTAGCCTTCAGTAAGGATTGAGGCAAATATAAAAAAAGATCTTTTTATTTATTTTTAAAATATAAAATAAATTCAAAACATGAAAAAAACTTTGCTGTAGTTTAGTAATTACATCATTTTTATCTTTTTTTTGTTATGGATATGATTTTAGAAATATAATTTTAAAATTAATGATAAATATATCAAATAAGCACCACTTATTAACTATTGATAAAATTCTATAATTACAAAATGATAAGTTAATAAATTTAGAAACATTACAGCAAATTTCGTCATTTTAGCAATAAAAACTGAAAAATATGTAAATAAATTTTCTTTTTTTCTCAATTTTCTTAAAAAAAAATAGAAAAAAAAACTTATGTTAGTGTTAATCGAACTCTGGTTTGTACGTATGAGCATTTTCTCCATTGTCATTTGGATACAATGTCCTTTGATAATAAAATTCCCTAAAGTTGTTTTTATAATTGGCTTATATGAGGCAAATGCCTTTTTGATTGTACAGTAGGCACGACTCTGATATTAAACAATGTTTAGAAATCTGATTCAGAGAACAAATTAGAATTTCTATCAAATCACCAGGGTTTTTAATTTTATTTTGGTTGATTCGAATTAACTGGATCAATTAATTAATAAAATTTTATATAATATATATGGATATATATTTGTTTTAAAGTGTATAAAAATTAACTAAAAAATTTCAGATTATCAAAGTTGGCTAGGTGACAGATAGTATCTTTATCTTTCAAATATTTTCCTTCCTCTCCTTCCACACTCTCAAAGCTTTTGTTGCAACCTGTCTTAGGCGCAAGGCACATAAAATTCTTCCACTGATTGCAATTTAATTAAAACGTTATGATCAAAATGCAACCATCATCCAGTAATTCTTCGTCTTTATTTTTTTCAATATCTCATTGAACCTCTTATCATCACTACTCGGTAGTACCAATTGCCTGAAATAAGATGATTATTAAATAAAATTGAGTTTAGTTAAATGTTAGATTTTTATTTTTTTTAATATTCTTATTGAATATATTTTTTGTAAGATTTATTATTAAAATAAAATAGTTATTTTCAATAGTGTTTGGCAATCAGTGTTAACACATAGATTAGAAAAAAATGTTATGTGTTTAATTTAGTTTATTAATTCAAATAGATTTTTTTTAAAAAAAAATTAAAAAAATTATGGTGTTAATACATCAGCAAAAATTACTCTAATGTTTCTCATTTAATATAGTAGATGATTAAAACGTTGTGTGGAGAATTGTATTATCATATTCATGTATAGATTAAAAAAATGAAAATCATGAAACAAATTGTATAAAGCTTTATGCCGAACAAAAAAAATGTTTGATTAAGAAGTTTCATTAAATTTAAGAATTTTGAGATAACTTATGTGATTTATGTAAGTTAAAATATGTGCAAAAAATATCAGGTGATATTTCTTTGTAATACAAAATAAATTCTTATAAAAGATTTATTATAAAACGAATAGAATATAATTAATACAAGTGGCATTAACTTGATACATTGGATTAATAATTTGGATAAATTCAAATCTATGAAGATTTTAATGAATTTAAAGTTTTAAAATGATTTAAACAAATCTTGCCTTCTAAATTCTCTCAAATACCATCATATAAGATGGTATTTCAATTTATTAGTTTTTAACTCTAAATTACCTCTTAAATAATCCCAAATCATTTTTTAAAAAATAATTCACTAATGAAATCCCAATTTTTCAATAAGACAAATTTTGATGAATTTGTATAACTGACTAATCCAATAATCTTGGATTTTAAGTAACTTTCTTAAATGCTAGATTCAATAAGAAGATAGTTGAAAAAAAATGAAACTATCCCAAGTCATTAATCCAATATACCCCACTTAGTCATTTGTATCCAATAATAGTGAATATTTGCAAGTTTTTAGCTATAAGTATGAATGGTAAGTGGATCAAAATTGTGTAAATAAGTTAGAAGAAGCAGTGGGAGATAGCAATATGTGCCATTTTAACCAAGTAATGATGGTCTAATGGCTATCATTTGATGAGGAGTTGCCTTATTAATCTAGGTTAGAAATTGATTCTTTTAAGTATGGAATTAAATCACTCTCACTTAGCCAGTCAAAATGGTACCATGTAATTTAAACCAATATAAAACCTGGTCACTTTGGGGGATTAGTTTGGTGTTAAAAGCACGAATTACCCCTGATTACAGAAAGAAAAAAATATGTGTCATTTTTCATATTACTTTCGATATCATTGTATGTATAGTTTTGCTAAATCCGGTGAATGCGCTATTCGACAGCTACATTCGCTCTAGAGGATTAGGTGGATGTTAAAAACTTCAATTACCCCTAGTTATATAAAAAAAAAAACATGTGCCATTTTTTTCATATCGCTTTCGATATCATTGTATAGTTTTGCTAAATTCAATGGTTTTCCCTTTTAAAAATGAATAAATAATGTAGTTTAAAAGAATGTTTTTTTTTTCATAAACATAAATTCATGGCTGAGCAGTTTAGTAAATTTATGTCCAAATTTAGAAAAGTAAAAAAGAAGACGTATATGTTTGATTTATTAGATTGGTATATATATCAAACTTTTTTTTTTTGTTAACAGGTATATATATCAAACTATGAAAGAGAAAATGGGAAATTAATGTGAGCACCGGCGAAGAAGGGGAAAGAACAGAGAATTGAAAAGAATGTCACGTAAACTTGTGGGGGTGACATATATCTATACATGTGTGTATATGTATGGGCTTAATTAATAAACCCTAAAAATTATAATATATTGAAGGTGGTCCTTTCACAAAAAATCAACATCTTGTCTTTTCTACATTGTTGTAACATACAAAATATACACAAATTTATACACATTCACCCATGTGTACTGTACCCAACTATGTCATATGCACAATGTTTAGATTTGTGAAAATGATCCCTTGTGCCATGTCTTTGTTTTAAACCTGATTTCATTGTAGTAGGGTTTATATTGGATCAGAAGAAGAAATTCTACTTTACAATACATATTTAAATTTTTTTGATCATCTCCTAACATTAAAGACGGTTAATTCGTTTTGAAGTTGGGTGATGCTGACTTGTATACTAACAAAACTGTAATTAGACATAATAAGAGAATTGTTCCTATTTTAAATATAGCATCTTTGTTTCTCAAAAGTGGGCTCTATTGAATTGTTGGTTAAGTCATAAAACTTTGTTGTATGTGTGAATTTATGAATAGGATTTGTGTTGGGGACACTTAGCCATATTTGAGGTGTTAAAGGGAGCTTTCTCTTCCCACATGCTTTTGTTTATTCTTCTAAGCAAAAAATTAAAATAAAATGGTATCCATATCTATCTCTACTACGTTAGCCATTAATGTACCAACCCTATTAATCTAATAGCCAATCATTTAACTTTTTTCCAAAACATGGCGTAATATGAACATCCATTATCATTAGTCTGTAGCCACTTCTTCAATTTATGAAGGAAGCCAAAGCCAGACCTCATGATAACAAATAGGAATGGAACCGTTCCTCTCGCGCGTAACAGTTGTAGCAAATACTCGTGCCATAATATTAGCTTGAAACTGAGAGAGCTTTTTTTTTTTTTTTTTTGACAGCTTAAATTATTATTTATTTGTTTTTGACATATTATTATTTATTTGCTTAACACAAAAAAAAATGTTGGTAAGCGCTTACAAGGTGATCTGATTTCTTCTATATGTGTGATCGTTAGATTTTGTGGAGGAGACAATAATGAAATGGGCCTCGTGAAGCAATGTATTGGACTTGTGACCATTTCTTTTCACCAAAACGTTCAATACTTTAACCGTTTAACGTTATACTGCATGTCTCATGTCTGCAATTTTTACGTAATGTACGCTTGGCTTTAGTGCATCTGTACAAATGTACAATCATATTATTTATCATATACAATGTCATAAATCTAACCGTATATAGCGACGGTCAACATTCACATGTAATCATTTGAACGTTGTGCGGAGAAAAAGATGAAAAGTGAAAAAAAAAAAACAGAGCTGATGCATGTTAGTTTCTAGTGGCTGATCCATTAAAAAAATATCGAAAGCAACTACAACATGTAAATATACCCGTAAAAATGCGAATATACCAGCCATATATATAGATTTTGTAATAGTAATATTAATCAGTAAACCTTTATGTGATGTAGCGTACATGGGTCAGATAAAGAATATTAAAAAAAAATATATATATATATATATAACAATGACAATCCATGGTTTTGATCCGTAGTGATCTGAAATCACGTAATTTATATGTGTTTATTTTTTTAGTTGTGAACATACATATGATATGACCGTCAATTTCGGAACTATACGCTGGGTTTTATTGAATATATATTATTATGTGATATAAGATTAAATTATTTGCTGCAAATCATTTTCGAAGATTTTCTACTAAAACGAGCATATGATATTATTCAAAATAATATAACACTGAATCGGCGTATATATTCAAAGCTATAATAATATGTTAAGATTGCTTGCTCCACGTTTACAAGCAATTGACAATTAGTGACACCCAATGTCACACTATAATGCATGCTTTCACGCATACGATTCAAAATCATTATCCAAATATTTTTGCCTATATAAATATGTCTTTAATAGACTATTTTGAAAGTAGGTATATAGATAGTTGGTTATTTCATATATTTGGTTTATTCCAATATTTTATAAGGAATCAAAATGAAACTGAATTAATACCGAACCTTACCAAACTTGATTCATTTTTGATTTGGTTATTCCTCATTATTTCCTCTAGTTGGTCACCATTCTAAAGAAAAGAAATGGAATCGTTTGTAAGTAGATGCAAGGTGAGCGATTGCTTTCCTTAAAAGTTAAAAGAAACATTCTTTTCGGATATATTAAGAAAACTTACTTTTTTTGTTTATCAAAATAAAATGTATTATAGTATTTTAATATAATCTCGAGAACGATACTTCCTCTGCAACACGACTCAATTACGCGAACGAATATTTATATTCACCAAACCATATTTTATCTTGAAAATTTGTCAACATAGTTTATCTTCGATCCAAAGAGCTTCTCTGAGCCTAAACTAAAAAAGAAACATCAAACAACTGAAATATTATGGACGAAGAAGACAAGAAAGTGATGAGGTGTTTCAGCTTCCCGAGAATTACAAAGAAGAAGAAGAACAAGAAAGAGGAGGGGAATTTAATAGTGTCTACAGAAATAGCAAAGAGATGGAGAGATCTAAGCGGTCAAAACCATTGGAAAGGAATGCTACAGCCGTTGGATCAAGATCTCCGGCAATATATCATACATTACGGTGAGATGGCTCAGGCAGGTTATGATACTTTCAATACCAACACCGAATCTAAGTTCGCTGGCTCTAGCATCTACTCGAGAAAAGACTTCTTTGCCAAGGTAACATCTAAAGAAGATTTTAACAGAAATATTATAAAAAAGCCTGAAAAGAAGAATAGCTTTTTTTTTTTCTTTTTTACGTATAAACGTTATATTTCGTAATTTTCAGAAATATGAAACATGATTTTCCCATATTCAACATGTTCTTCACTCATATATCTTTGTGGGGTCGTGATTTATGCCAAATATACATATAGATAAAGCGAGTAAATGTTTTCTTGTTATGCAATCCACATAAAGCAAACCTTTTTATTTATTTCTTAAAACATAGGTTGGTCTAGAGAAAGCGCATCCGTATACAAAGTACAAAGTGACGAAGTTTTTATACGCGACATCAGATATCCACGTGCCTGAGTCATTCCTGTTGTTCCCAGTGTCACGGGAGGGATGGAGTAAGGAATCTAATTGGATGGGTTACGTGGCGGTGACAGACGACGAAGGCACGGCGATTCTTGGTCGGAGAGATATCGTCGTTGCTTGGAGAGGCTCAGTGCAACCACTTGAATGGGTCAGCGACTTCGAATTCGGTTTAGTCAACGCCAAAAAAATATTTGGTGACAAAAACGATCAAGTACAAATTCATCAAGGTTGGTACTCAATCTACATGTCCGAAGACGAACGGTCGTCTTTTAATAAGGCCAATGCTCGTGACCAGGTATAATGTTACTTGTTGACAATGACGGTTTTGCCTTTTTGGTATTTTTGCGAAATTATACATCTCAGAGAAAAATCTTTGGACTTGAAAAAGGTATTGCGAGAGATTGGGAGATTGTTGGAGAAGTATAAGGAGGAAGAGGTTAGTATAAGTGTTTGTGGTCATAGCCTTGGAGCTGCGCTCGCAACACTCAATGCTACGGATATTGTGGCTAATGGTTATAACCGACCAAAGAGCCGTCCTGAGAAATCTTGTCCTGTTACGGCCTTTGTCTTTGCTAGTCCTCGTGTTGGGAATTCTGACTTCAAGAAACTCTTCTACGGGTACGTCTACTTAAAAATATTTATGTCTACAACAGTATATTGTCATGCATCTTTAAGAACAAAAAATTTACATTTTGAAATTCAAATTGAGTTTTAAACATCGTGTGGGGTTAATGAGTGTATTTATCCAAAATGGAACAAAAAAAAAACACACAAGTACGAAAGTACAGTACTTTGTCTTTTCGAAGGTTTTTGTTTTTACTAGGTATTTACCCGCGCTATGCTGCGGGATATATATTTTTCTAAATTTTGTATATATTTCTAACATAATAAAATTATTTTTATAATATTAATGAGTATTATATTTTTTTATTAGCTTAAGTTATGTATTAATATGTTTTAAATCTGAATAAACATTACATATTTTTTATTTTTTTATTTTTCAAAATTATAATTTGCTATTAAATTTAGTTAGCTAACTAATTATAAATGTATATATAGGAATAAAATATATAAAAATAAAGCAATACATTTTTAGTACCTTCATGCTAATGGCAAATATAATCTATTATCTTCAATAAATTGCCACTTGATCCTCCTTTGTAATTATATAAAGTAAAATGCAATTTAAAAAAAAAGATTTATTAATTAATATGATTATTTTAAACTATAAAATTTTATTTATTTATCAAATATTTTATTATAAACATATGTTTCTAAAACTACCAAACTATAATCAATAACATTCATATCAAAACCATTGCTATTGCTTTAAAACTAAATAGAAAATTATGTTTAAACTCTTAAAATATCGTTTTAGTTAAAGTTAAATAATTAAATTTTGGTTACTATAAACATACTTTAACTTGGAAATTTAGCACAGAGAAATTTCATCTTCTTACAAAAATCGAGAAATCGCATTTTCCGGCAAAACAAAAAAAACTTTATTTTCCCATTAAACTGAGAAATCGTCTATTCCCGCCAAAACCAAAAAAATTCATTTTCTCGTCAAACCTTAAAACTAAAATTTTATTTTCCCGCGAGAACCTGTGTTTTTCCACCAAAGCCGAAAAATTACATTTTTTCACAAAAACCAAAAATTTTCATCTTCGTGCAAAAACCAAAAAAAAAAATTTGTATTTTCCCGCCAAAATCGAAAATTTTATTTTTTGCTGCGAAAGCTGAGAAATCGTCTATTCCTGCAAAAAAAAAAAATCATTTTTTCGTCAAGCCCAGAATCACGCTTTCCTACAAAAACAAATAAACTACAATTTCCCGCGAAAACCAAAAATTGTATTATCTCCCGTGAAATTGTGTTTTCCTGTGAAAACTAAGAAATTGTTATGTTTTTATCGGTTCAAATTTTTGCTGGTGTGTGAGCTTCTAATAACATAAAGTTTTTTGCGTTGTTGTCATAGAAGCATAGTTGATGCTGAGCCTACACTTTTTCAATCATATACGTCTATGTCAAACAAATAGATAGCTAAATTTTTTTTATTATTTATTTGTTGTTATTTATTATTTAGATTTGGCTTTGACAAAAAAAAGAAAACAATGATTTAATTTTTTTTTTTTATTTTTATTTATTATTTGGGTTAGGATTTGGAAAAAAAAATAAAATAATAATTTTTTATTTGCTGTTATTAATTATTTGAGTTTGGGTTTGGTAAAAAATAAAACAAAAATTAATAGAAAAAATATTTGGGTTTTTAATGGGTTTAAGTTTAAAAATTAAAATAAGTAGATGAGATGTATTAATAAAATGTTTTGATTGGTGATTATTTTTGCTGAGATGTCATGTTTATAAAGCTGAGGTGTCAAACCATGAAGAGATTTTAGTGTTATTGTTGTGTTGATTTAATAACAACGATATGATAATCATAACTAACTCTTTATAGGTTAATTTTAATGTGTGTGTATATATATATATATACTATCCAAACAATTTGAATACCTGAACTTTAGATTTCCCTCAAAAACATTTATGTACATGCTAGCGTTCAAACCTGATCCGAAATGTTAGCATCTCTTATTATATTGCATGGTACGCTCTTTTCAAATGAATGTGACTTATAATGCAATAAGAAACAGATTGGAAGATATCCGAGTGTTGCGTACGAGGAATCTACCGGACGTAGTTCCGATCTATCCACCCATAGGCTACGCCGAAGTCGGAGACGAGCTTCTGATAGACACAAAAAAGTCCCCGTACATGAGATCTCCAGGAAACTTTGCGACGTTTCACTGCCTAGAGTCTTACTTGCACGGCGTTGCAGGGGTTCAAGGGACGAACAAAGCTGACTTATTCAGACTGGACGTGAAACGAGACATTGGATTGGTCAACAAATCAGTCGACGGGCTAAAAGACGAGTATATGGTCCCTGCACATTGGAGGGTTCTCAAAAACAAAGGTATGGTCCAACAAGACGATGGATCTTGGAAGTTATTGGACCATGAGATGGATGATAATGAAGATTTTGATGTCTGATTCTTTTGGTTATTTGTTTATTTGTAAAGTGTTGGATGTTGATGTTTGGAAAAAGACTATATTTTCAATCAATTAACGTTGTATTTCTCTTTTTCTTTTATGTAAAAAATTCCGAATATGATATTGATGAAAAATTCCTGGTAGGTTTTTATTTACAATATTTTGTTGAAAAAACGAATTAATATGCAGGGTGACCGCCCGCATTAAGGTGCGGCTGATGAGTTCATTTTTAGAGACCTGCGTATATGCAGATTTATAATAACAAAATTTAAAATTATTTAAAATATTTTTTTTTAAAAGAATAGATAACAAAATCGAATTACTGATGAAAAACATATATTAAAAACACAAATCGAAATCTAAGAATTATATATTTTAATTCTCATTTGGTTTTAACTAAATTATTCAAAACACATAATCTGTTGCGGATTCTGAGCAACATTAACACTGCTTCTCTTGCAGTTCAACACTTTATTAACAATTTTTTTTGTTTATACACCTGCATATACATAGGTCCTAATCTTGATCAGCACTTTTCAACTATCTTTTTTGTTTAGCTGCATTAAAAGCTTAGATATACAATTCAAATCCTTCAAATATGTTAACTGTCTTTATTAAGTCCCTCTAAGTAAACATAGTTTATTTTTCTTTTCACATTCATCTACCTTATATGATCTTATTGCTTTTAAGAGTACTTATACTTTTCAAGACTCGGGTTAAAAAATTTTCTGCATAATTTTTGCATAATTTACTTTTAATTTTAATAACATTTAAATTAATTTTAGTTAATTTTTGTTTTTATTTTCTTTCCAAATAGTGTTCTCTTTTTTTTTAGGATTTATGTTTTAGGTGGGGGTATTGGATTCAGAAATTGATTGAATTGTACGGAATTGAAAATTTCATTAAATACCAGTGTTATTCAATTATATATTTTATCAATTTTTTAAAATATTTGTGTTATTGGAGTAAGTATTTCTATTCATTCTTTCAAAATCCTTTAAATATCATTGTTATTCAATATACTAATTTTCTAATTCTATTAAATAATTGTGTTATTCAATTTTGTAATAGCGTTGATTGTATTATTATTTAGAAGAAATTTAATAGAATCTCACATAAAAATTGTAAAGAACCAATTCCTACTATTTTTACTCTGATTTTGATAGAATTGGTTTTAATTCCAACAAAATACTTTAAATTACTTAGAAATCAATTATTTTTGAATTCTTGTACATTCTAGATGATCCAATACCACCCCTTAGTTTTTTTTATGTTTTTTTCCAAACTGAGATATCATTTTACTATTATTTTTTTTTGTAAAAACAAACACACATGTCAAAATCTAAATTAGAAAACTCGTTATATGTCGTCGCGATCTTGTGAATTACTAACTTTAGCGCATCCAACTTTATATAATAAGATATGTGATGAAAAGATAGAACCACAAATGACATTAAATTTTGAAACAGTAAAAAGACACAATTAACAATTTTTAAAAGACGCAACTTATTTATCTGCAACTCACATTTATTCAAATTGCTATTATAGATAGATTTATTTAGAATTTCAAATTATTAGATTGGTAATTTATAAAACAAAATTAAAATATCAGCTTATTGAAAAAAGGAATTTTAACAATAAAATATATAAAAACAATTCTGAATGATTTGTAAGGTTATTTTTAGTTAAAAAATGATAGATCCAAATACAACCGATGGAGAAGGCGATTTGGGAAGATTTTAACTACAAAATCCAAAAATATTAATGGCTCTTTGGCTTTTGAGAAGAAGAGAATGAGGTTAGGGTTTTCTGGGTTAAAATCTTTCACCTCCCTACTTCCAATAGTCTGCCTTATCTGGCATACCACCGTGAGTCCTATCAAGAAAAAAATCTGGTAATCAATGAATAAGGGTTTCTGTTTCTTCTGTTTTTGGCTTAACTCTGAATATAGTTATGAACATTTATTTATGTGTTAGGGAAAAGAAGGTCACTACATATTGGCGTAACTCTGTAGAGCAGTCTTCTCTACTAATCGGGTTTCTCTTCTTCAGCTTCTTCAGGAGCTTCGACTGAACGACATTAACATCCCCGAGCTAATCAAATCCTGTCTCCATATTTTGGCAAAAGAAAAGTCGGTGTGGGGGATAAGCTTCTGTATTGTCTGTTTGGTAAGACAAATGCAAAGAGTAAGTCTAAACGCCACAAGTGTAACTTGAGAAGTTTCAAAATACCAGTAAACATCTCGTGTACGCTCCACATCTTCAGTTTCAACCTCTTCATAAAATGCATAACTAATTCTACATCAATTAGTCACAACGCATAATCACATGTATGCTACAAAGTCAAACAGCAAAAGCTTTCCACAGAATACAAGAATCTGTTTTGATAGATTAATTTAGTGACCTGAGTGTGCTAAAAGATAGACAAAGATGATAGAACTATATAATATCTGCCTGAGACAACTAAACCCAAACAGTTCACTAGTTCAGTTACACGAAACTAAACTTAACCTTCTTATGCAAACATGATCAACCTAAGAATCCAATAACGAAAGGAAAAAACTCAAATATAATTTTGCCAACATCGTTTCAACTCGCCAGGTGGAACCTTAGCAATAGCCCTCTCATATATTTCTCTAACCCTAGCTTTGTTCTCAATAGTCTCTATTCACTGTTTATACGATCAAACTCTTACGAAAGAATCCATTAATTATCGTTTCGTCAAATTCTGAGAATTATATAATCTTTGTTATTCAATAAACTATTTTTTACAGTTTTTACATACTTATTAACCCAAAAAAGTGAAAACAGAAATAAAAATAAAAATAAGTAACGTGTATTCTTTAAAATAATTTTTAATAACTAAAATAAAAAAAATTGTAGGGATTTTACATTTGAGTGCCTGACGCTTAGGGTTTACATCATCAATCAAATAAATACACATTATCTTATTACTACTCTCTCAGCCTCCTTTTCTCTCATCTCTCTCCCTCTTTGCGAAAAGTCAGGGGCTTGTCGTTCCTTTCCCCCCCATTTCTGCGTAGATAGAGCCTGTGTGGCTCTATCAGATTCCTGCTTCATTAATTTCATGTGGTCTGGTTAATTAAGAGTAGTAAAAAAAAAGATTTTTCTCTTGGGGTTCGCATAGTTATGGATATGATCAGTAATCTACCAGATGAGATTATTGACCACATTGGTACTTTCCTCTCGGCAAAGGAGGCTGCTTTCGCATCGGTGCTCTCGAAGCGTTGGCGAAATCAGTTCACCATCATACCAAAGCTTCGTTTCGATGCCTCCGTGGCTAACGATGGAGAGAGTTTCAGTGATTTCGTGGATGAGCTATTGGCTCTACCAGCCAGTTCCCGTGTAAGGAAGCTTTCTCTCAGATGCAACGACGTGTCCCAATTTGAGGAGCATATCAACGCTTGTCTCTGCGAAGTGGTGAAGCGTGGTGTTTTCGCTCTGAAACTCGACATTCAAGTCGACAGAAACGAGAATTATTCAGTGCCTTTTGAGGTTCTTACCTGCAAGACAGTTGCTGTAATGAAGCTAGGTACCGGTTTCGCCATCGACCTTCTCCCAGAGGATGCTTTTCTTCCGGCTCTCAAGACGCTCTTTCTGGACTCCGTTCGTTTCTACGATTTTGGTGGTCGCTGTGCGTTCGCAACGCTTCTCTCGGCGTCCCCTGTGCTTGAGGAGTTAGTCATTGATGGTGCCGAGTTGGAACGCTGGAAATGGTGTTGCACCTTCTCCAGCCCGACCCTTCGAAGACTGACCATCTGGCGTGAAGAGTGGGAATCTGTTGATGAGTCCGGTGATGAGTCCGATGATGAGCTGGATCGTCGGGGACTTGTCTATGATCTCGACAGCGTCAGTTTCGATACTCCGGCTCTAACCTACTTAGAGTACTCTGATTATGTTCCTAAAACCTATCCATTTGTCAATCTCAACTCCCTCGTTGAAGCTAAGCTGGATCTTTGGGTGAAGGTAGATGCCGATGCTTCATTGTTAGACAAAAATGCAGATGATTTCAATGTCATCAACCTCATTAATGGGATTCAAAATGTTGAGATTTTGGACCTAACCATTCACACTGCGGAGGTAAGTGCCACCTCTCTTGGTAGATATTCAAATGTTTATTTCGGTTTGATTGAAACATTGGCTCATCTTTCTTGTGTTTCAGATGTTTGAAGTCTTCCGTGAATCTACCCCAGTGTTTGAAAAGCTGTTTCAGATGACTATTGGATTTTCTGACCACTGTTGGTATCCTCTACCAAATCTGATAAAGAAATCTCCAATTCTGAAGACTCTCATCATCGATGTTCGACCTTAAACCCTAAAAGTTCATTGGACAAGCAAAATTTTGAAAACCTTATAGGTGAAACTAATTTAATCTTTTGTTTTGTTTTCAGGGTTCTTTGCATCGTCGTGAATATGAGATATCTGATAGGTGGGTATGCAAATGCGTGTCAGAGTATTCTTTCCTATTGGCATGTCCTGTGGAGATCCTACAGATCAATCATTATCGTGGTTCTAACGACGAGCTGGAACAAATGAAGCATTTCTTAGGGAAATTATCATCTCTTGAGCTGGTGGAAGTTGATGCTTGTGTATCTTCACCTTACAAAAAGCTACAAGTCATGGCGGATCTGCTAATGCTTCCCAGAGCTTCTCCTAGTTGCAAAATCCAGGTCAAGTTTTCTCCAAAGCGTTGTTACTAAGAGCAAACTCTAATCTTTCCCTACTTTTGCTTTTAGTCTATCCGGAAGTTGACATAAGAAGCTTGTTTGGTCTATGGTTAGTGTGAGAGAACCATTCTTAAAAGCACTTGTTTGTTTTGTATCTTTCATATGTCTTTGTTGACATAAGAACTTGTTTGTTTTGTGTCTTTCATATGTTTTTGTTGACATAAGAACTTGTTTGTTTTGTATCTTTCATATGTTTTTGTTGACATTAAAACTTGTTTGTTTCGTGTCTTTAATATCTGATATTGTTCTAAATTTTTTTTTTAAACGCATGATGATTATTAAAAGAGAAATTGGGTCATATGACCATATAAAACTGAAAACTAGACAAAATAACCATAAAAATTAATGGCTATAGTATTTTGTATATATTCTACAATATATATAAAACTATCCCTCTTCTATTTTTTTTTT